ATGTGTGTTATCTAATCTCTAGGGAATAAGGCACAAGAATTAAAGATCTCTCTTCTCTTATTCTCTTAATTGTAATTTATTGTCTGTCAAAGCACTTCATTACTGGATGACCAGCTCTTTATTTTCAAAATGCATTTCAAATTGATATATCAAGATTAATTTGATTTTGTATAATGTTTTTTTTTCAACAATCAGTTTGCAGAGTGACATAACACATAACTGCAATATATTTTTTTTAATGCAGAAATAAAAAAAAATAAAATGAAAAAAAAAAATGTTACAATGGAATTACAATGTATTAGTATTGATGTTTCATTTGGTTGCACCTTTGTTTCATTCATTAAGAAACATGATGAGCAATTATATTTCACTGCAAATTTTTGTAAGTAAATTGTGAACACCTCTAGATCCATAAAGTATTTTTGAATTGGCACCTTCTCTGAAAAACCCAGCGGGGGTATTTGTCCCTATTGGACAGTTCTAGTTTATTTTGTTTTATATGTAACAGATACTCAAAAGCTAGATGTGTCAATCAGTATTATTTATAGCAAAGACTCTTATCTTTTATTCTATAATGAATAAGACTCCAAATTATATTTCTTTAGGAAAAAATAATGTGGTCCAAAATTGAGTTTAGCAAGTGACTTTTTGAATTCAATATCCGATTTTTGATACGTTGTAAAATCCACTACATTACTATGACAGAATTTTTTCCTCATGTTATTATGAATACAAAGTACAAACTTTTGAGTCATTTCATAAAATTGGTGGGAACAGGTATATTGAGGGAAATAAAGGGAGTCAAATTAAACCGATTCCGATCGGAATTATATAAAGAAGGAAACACTATAATTGTATTGTTAAATTTGGCTCTTTTGTTGTTATATAGTTCAAAATTTACTTATTTATTTTTATACATGTCTTATATGTGGCAGTTGCCTTTAGTTTGATAACTTTATAAATTTTGAATTATTTTCGATCGGTATCGGTTTTATTTCAATCGGGTGTGGTTTTTAGGAATATTTCCTAAACTTGATTCTACATTTTAATTTACCAGAGAAATAATATGCCCATCTTTTGTTTCTTTTCAGTCAGTAAAATGTTTTAAATGATTTTGTCCATATATTCAAATGTATACATTTAAATTCCTCATGTCTTTTACGTACATGATTACAGTGTACATGTAAAACATCTTTGATTTCTTGATACTCGGTATTTAAAAACGTGTTTGTACATGCATCATGCAGCAACTGAGAGAAGACAGCTTAGCTTCATTAAATATCTTATTTCCAAGTAAATTTTTTTTCTTTTATTAACATTTTCTCGGGAATTAATAAGGAGTTAATTTCTATTAGTGGCGCATGTACCTATACAGTGTAAATATAGAAAATATTTTTATGTGTATAGTCTCGGGTTTATCCAAGTTTTTTCAACCTTTCATCCGTTAATCCTTTTCTCCTATATATCCCTTTTTTTTAAAAAAAAATTATTTTATGTAAAAAAAAAAATAGTTCTTTCATATACATCATTATTTAAGAGCCCATAAATCACAAGCAAAAAAGGGGGGGGGACAACGCGGCATCATGGCATCGTTTTTTCAAAAACTGGTTTCAAGAATATAAAAACATTTTAGAATTGGCCAACATAGCCACATATTTTAATTCCATATTAAACATGAGTATGTAATTATTTCGATCTCCAATTTATTAAAAAAAAAAAAAAAGAAACGTTTCACTGAACCATCTTCCGTTTTAGTGTTGAGGAGTTCAGCAGTAATCTTCTGTAATAAATATGATTGTAACCTTTTTTTCAGTTTTTAAAAAAAATATTTTTAATCGTACCACTGCTTGTTTATTTTATTTGACTGCATAGATAAATGTATTAAAGATTTTACAAATATCATGAAGTAAACATCTCAACTTCGTTAAATTAAATTTTGCGTAAATCTAAAATATTCACGATTCCTTGATAATCAGAAGAAAAAACTTTCACGTCCCAATTACATAAGAAATGTTCAATATAAACACTAAAAATTAATTATTTTTGCGCATATCCTAGTATTAAAGACATGTATAGGATATAGAAAACATTATTTAACATTTTAGATAATGCAATGTGTAGAGTAATTGAACAGAAAGGGAGAAATTACTTATCTTTAATTATTTTTCTTTGCACTTTTATGCATAGAATTTACAAACTTTTCTGGAAGTCGTGTAACTATTTGATTGTGACGCAGTATTAGTCAGGTATATGACGTCACTGATACATCAATGGAAACGTGGATTCAACCTGAATAATACAGCCCATTTTTATCCAAATATTACGTTTGAAGGAGTAAATGAGTTTTATTTTGAAAATAAAGTAGTTATTTTTTGTTTCTTAATTTTCTTTAGTGTATCGATTCTATTTTTTTTTACCAGGATTCCGATAGTAAGGTGTGTAACAGATTTACTGATGCCACGGGAGATAACTCTTACATCGCAAAATTTCATAAAAACGTCTATATATTTTGCCAGAAAACTAATTCAAAAGTGTTTTTCCCACCGATTTTATTTTTGAAACAGAAAGATGAAACATTTCTAGATTTAGTTCAGCGTGAATTATAGTCCTGTTAAAAATGTATTGGAAGTTACAGTTCTTTGTTTTTGACCTAAATTCAATGGTTTATATAGGGGAACTCAATAACACGAAAGAAACGGATATTTTACTAAATAAGTAATTTTCAAACAAATCTTTGATTACATTATTCCTTTTTGATTACTTTGATATTGTTTTCAATAAAATATCAAATATTCATCACATTCGATGTGCCGCCTATCAATACAATACTGCCTGGTTTTTCGGTGGACTGCCTTTTAAAGTGACATGAATTCTTATTTTCAGATATTGAAACATATTCCAAAAATATTGACAGTAGTAGCTCATGTTGTTGGCACAGATCAAGTCAAACAAGGTTAGTTTTTGTTTTAGTCTCTCTGGTATACTGACTTAAATTAAGACTTCCTTTAATTGTAAAAAAAAAAATATTGATCATTTCATTAAACTAAAAGTATTAAATATAGAGGTTGCGCTATTTCACTTAGTTTATTATAACATCTTTTTTTCAAATTAGTAAAAATTGATATGATAGATACATGTATGTGCAAATCATAATGGTACACATGTACATTGTATCTTAGTTGTCCTGTTATATTTCTGCCACAGTTATTATAAATGACAATCTGATTTTTGTAGAGACTCAAGCCCTTCTGATTCATTTTGTAAAGGACCTTCATGCCAAGTTTCCAGCAGAGTTCCAAACGGTTCAGGGATCCCTCACCCCAGAACAAACAGGGAGGATACAGAGCTGTTTAGAGTTCACTAATGGGTCATCCTGATCTATGTCTATCAACCAATAGAATAGGACTAATTAAATGATAATAAATTTATAAAATCTGAAGAGAGAATCCTTTATTGAAAAAAATTGAAAGAGAATCTGAATTAATTTGAAGTATTATTTGTGGTTCTGTCATTTGCTTTTATCTAAATACCTGTCAATGATTTCACTGATTTTTTTGAGGTTGTTCTTGCCTGTGGTTGTTATATCATTTGAACATAAAAAAGTGCTTTGTTAAAATAGTTTCAAAGCTTTTTTTTCATGTGCATGCCTTATATGCTTATTCTGGGTTTTTGTTTAGTTAAAGAGTAGCCACATTTATTGTGCATTGAGGAGAATTAAAAAAATTATTTATTTTAACACTACTCTACATTAATGGAACCCCATTCTACAATGTAAAGTCATATGTTTGTATGTAAAATAGAGAATGATGGAGTAAGCTGAAAGAAATATCTAGTTTTTTTCTGGGGGGGGGTGAATGGCTGGGTCCCAAATTAGATATTTTCTTCTTTTTAAATAACTGGTTTTTTTTTAATTGTATAAATTGTTCAGTGTCAGAGTGCAGAATGACTCTTATTTAGATCATTTACTAGTATTTTGAAACTTGTATGTCATTATATGTTTATATCGTTATGCTATATATGTACAAAAGACTTCAGTCATAAATTGTGTTGACTATGGTTAGCTTTGGATTTTTCTTCCCAGATACTCCTAATTGACAAATGGTATTGCTCTCAGCTTGATTCATCATTTTCTTAAACTCATCTAGTGCAATACTTTCTGTATAACTGTAACCAGCATTTCAAATGTTGTAATTAATGTGATACATTGTAGTATCTTTCTAATACCTGACAAGTATTTTACAATATAATAATGTAAACGATTAATCTATGATATCTAAATACAATGTACTTGTATTTACCTGAATCATTGTTCAAAAATATAAACTATAATTCATAGAAAATGAAGTGCTATGGAAACCAAAAATTGTCTAATTAATTGAACTGATTCATTAATGGTTGATATTTTATTTTTTAAGCCAAGCTAACACACATCATGAGACAGATGTCTAAATGAGCATACAAACATTTAATTCTTCAATTCATTGGTTTTGCATGTATGAATTTATGTATAGTCTTTGAAAAAAATGGATATGACCTGCTTTTGAAGCTTAGGATTGTTCTTGTTTGTTGATTGATGTTACTTGTTAAGAATTCAAAGTCTGTAGGGAGAATTTTCCCCTCACACAATTTTTTAAAAGTATTCTTGCATTGTAAATTAAAAATTGCATGTACCTTGGTAAATAAAACAAGTAATGTACCAGAAATATCTTAGGTTTACTTTTGTGTTGATTTAAAGAGGCTGGGTGGTCGTGGCCATTTTTAGACTATTTCTATCTTCTTTAGAAGAAGAGCTCCATATAAAGATATACAAAAATGATCAAATTTTAAAACTAATATGTATGAAATTTTTCTTTGTCAAATGATAGTTGACAGCTAAAGATATCATATCTAAAAATTTAAGTTATATCTGGTGGCTAATTTTTTGTTAATTTGTTGACCCCCCAGCTTCCGTAAAATTCTGCATTTGGTTTGCCCCCCCCCCCCCCCCCCCACACACACACACACACACTCACTGGTCATATTACTGTGTGCTTAATTTACTTCTCTCATCAGTTCTTCCAAACACCTTTGCAGGTTAAAAAAAGGTGATAGTGGATAAGGCATCTTCACTGTATCAATGTTTTGTGATATTTTTTGTGTAGAGGAACAGCATGACAGAGTTAGGACATTTTGAACTGTGCTTTGGAAAGAATATCTTTTGATATATGAAAGTATGAGTATTTTAAACTTTATAACAGAAATATAAATGTATGTTTACAATGATCTGAGTTTATATATGGTTCATAGTGAAGAATGAAAGTAAAATGAGTAAAGTCAATCATTTTGAATTATGTAGCTACTTCAAAGTTAAGTGAAAAATCATTAACACCGCTGAAAAGGGTATACAGTATATAAATGCAAACAACCTTATACACATTAATAATTTAAATTAGAAGATGTAAACAAAGAAAAGGAAAAATGACAAATCAGTAATGGTAAAAAAAACATGATTTTCTCTTGATTACATTGTTAGAGTGACATTGATTATATTTACAATTGAAGATAATGCTAATTGTTAGAGTATATAAAACATGTTTTTCTTCTATTTCTCAGTGTTGGAGCTAGGAGATGACTCCATTTCAATGGTCTCCTTATTCTCGGAGTTCACCTTATTTTCAGGTACTGTCTCGGCGTCTTTATTGTGCTCGGTAGAATCATTCACGAGATAAAGATTCTCTTTCTTTGTTCCCTGATACCTAAAAGACATAGTTATTTTTGAAGACTGTGTTTAAAAATGAGGGGTTTGAACCCTATTTAAAAAAAAGAAAGACTGCAAGTAATTACGTACCTTTTTATAATTCTGTAGAAAACGTACAACCCAATTAGAATGAGAATGAAACAAAGGACACCCAGAGTGATGAAAAACTCCTTTTTGTAGTCCTTTTCAGCTTCTTGCAATTGGACTGTCAAAATAAATCGATAAATAACAAGTTTTTAATTTGAAAAAAAAAAACAGATTATCATCTAAAACTCCATATACTAGTACTTACTTTCAAAACACCCTTCTCCCTTTACGCCTGGTTTACAGCCCTGTTTACAGGCCCCAGTCACGTGATGGCAGTCACCTGATCCCTGGCAAAATGTACTGCATGCAATTTTACAGTTAGGTCCATGAAACCCAACTTCACAAACTGGAAGAAAATCATTCAAGTCTCGATTTGCGCAAACCACAAATATTTCTTGGAATGACTCAGTCACACATAACATTTGAATAAATCGTTAACAAAGATACGCTGCAAATTAATATTTCTTAGACATTTTCCATTACCTTGATCACATTTATCTCCATGATATCCTGATTCGCAGCCATTAACACAGGAACCTTTAGCGGACTGACAAGGTTCTCCGTCCACACATTTACCACATGTCTGGTTACAGCCTGTGCCGTACCACTTTTCACCGCACTCTACGAAAAAAGTCAACTATTTTCATATAAATGCCATCCTCATTTGTTGCTAAATTGATTAGTACTGCAATATAAAAAAATCCCCAACCCTAACTATTCAAAAATTTTGGCCAAGATTTAAGTTTGTTAAAATTTTGCAAAAGTTGCTCAAACTCCAAAGACAAGGTTAAAATATCAAATGTGATGACACCCTTGTCACAAGGAATACACATGTGAAATAGAAAGGGATAGGTCCTGCCAATCAAAGGTTATGGTTAAAGAATTTGCGGTCAAACAGACAGATGGTCACAGCAAAAACTCTATGCCACCGAATCTTCGATAAAGAGAACATAATATACTGTACCTAGATGACAATATTCACCCTTCCACCCTGGCTGACATCCAGTGTCACATTGACCGTTTGTTCTGTTACAACCATTACACGTACTGTTACATGTCTCCAGGCAGTTACGTCCAAATGTCCCATTTTTGCAGGCTGTAAGAAATAAAATTTTGTTTAAAAATTCTCTAGATACTGGAATATATGGTTATGCTTAAAAAGACAAACAGTACCAGAAATCTTTACTTTTGTCGCACAACATTCCTTCAAATCCCTCATCACACCCATTTATGCAATATCCATTTACTTGGTTACACTGTTCTGAACGAAAACAGTTTCCACAAATCATGCTGCAATTATTTCCGTAGAATCCGACGTCACATTCTTGTAAAATAATTAAAAATAACATTAGACAGAATATACTGTAAAAATTAAACACGTCGTTTCCATATCCTGCCTGCTTCTGGAAAACAGTTTAAAGAATGAATGATAAAATATATTTTGGCTGATATAAAAAACAATCTTGGACACAGTTTGAATAAATAAAACCTCCGCCGAACACCATTTATATATATATTTTTTTTTATAAAAAAACATCAAAATTCTCAATATTTTTACTATTTTAGAATATACATATTAAAAATGCTTGCTTTTTATACGTTAAAATTACTTTCAAAGGGAAATGTTGCATGCTCTTCAGAAAATCGCAATTTTATGAAAAATATTATTACCTTCAACTATGTTTAATTAAATACTAAATACAGTATGGATTTTCTTAACATATTTTCGGCAAAATTTAGATATTTCAATCGGATTTCGGCACCACACTTAGCGAATTCATATGCGACAGTTCAGTGATCTTTTAACGAAGTTATCAACGAATAAATTTAGGATAATTTAGAAAATCCTGGAAAAATTGAATTTGTTCTCGTATAGTTAAAAGATGGAGTTACGCGTATAAATTCATGAAAATATCTGAATAATTAACGAATTACGTGTTAATGTATGGTGTAATAATTTTAAAAATTGTAAAAGAAACATCTTTACCTTCTTGGCAGAATTCTCCTTTCCATCCAGGATAACACCTATTTCCACACACACCATTTGTCCTGTTACATCCTTTACACGTATCGTTACACTTGTGAACACAATCTTCTCCAAAGTATCCATTCGGGCATGCTTAGAATTAATTAAACATATATTTTTGTCGTGTGAATTTTAAATATAAAAAAGCAAAGTTTGTCACTGTTTGAAAATCTTTTCTAATTTCTTTAAATAACAAAATACTTTAATTTATTTAAAAATAGTTTTATTGCATAGCATGGAATGAACAAAGATGTCTAGTTTTTGCAGAAGCATAGAAAATATTTTTTCCTATAAAGTTTGATCGTATTTGTAAAGAAGAGCTTTTAACTGTTTAAAACAGCATGGAATGGAATGGTATACAGTATGTATAGTGTATTCATAGATCGATTTTTCTTTTTTGTATCAAGAATTTGATAAAACATTTTTTCAATAGCTTGATTATTTATAATTTAAAAAATAATGGCATAATTAAAAATAACCTTGATTTGAACATGTTACGAAAGATGATTCAGAGGAAAAACCTATAGAGAGAACAATGAAGGTAATTAAGTTTCCTTCCAGGGTTTTACCTTCCTGACAAAATTCTCCTTTCCATCCGGGATTACACCCATTCTCACAAATCCCATTTGTCCTGTTACACCCTTTACATGTATCGTTACACTTGTGAACACAATTATCTCCAAAGTATCCATCTATGCATGCTAAACATGGAAGAAAACATTTTGTTTTGCATATATTTTGTGCTTGCAGTTGCACCGCTTTCATATAAATCGTTTGCAAAATTTATTTTATTACATTGCATCGTATTGATCGTCATTATTATTTCATATTTTTTATGTTTAGCTCACGCGCATATCCCTATATCATATAAATTGTCGAATACTTTTATTGCAGAACTCCCCCTCATATCCATCAGAACATCCATTCAAACACGTCCCATTCACTGGGTGACATGTCTCTGATTCTGCGCAATGTCCACAAGCCTTACTACATTGATCTCCAAAAAATCGATCATCACACTCTGGTAATTTATAAAAGTACATTTAAAAAAAAGTAAGATATGGAAAATATGTTAAAATTTGTTGTATATTTATATATACCATATGTTTCTGTCAGAAACTTGTTTACATCCCGTTCGAGATTTTTCAATCAAACAGAGCATACTCTGAGGTTCTTTTCACGTTTGCAAATAACAATTCTTGTTTTTTTTCACTAAACATTTGGTATCTCCCGAGATCGTTTATAAGTTTATCATAATGTTAGACATGAGAATAGAGTATTGTTATGTAGGGGGCATGTGTCTTATGATAATAGTATACATCTCCAAGTTCTTCAAATACTGCGTGTTTGTAAAGAAAAAAATGTCGTCGATCTCTTTTTGTTGTCACAAAAATTTCAAAACTTTTGTCTCATGCAAGGAATATTTTTTTTCTCAAAGAATGATACGTCAATAAAAGTACGATTTAAAATAGGACATACATGAAAATAAAAGTCTTTGTCATGTACAGTATTAGTAAAAATCATTTCAAGTAATGTTTCATGTAAATTTCATACACAGTGTAGATTATGCAATTTGTGTCTCCTCTGACTGTGACCTGTGGTGATATACCTTCCCCTACTTTTGGTAATTCATGACAAAGAAGTAAATGTAAACATACTGAGACCAGCAATGACACAGCGTACCTAGATGACAATATTCACCCTTCCACCCTGGCTGACATCCAGTGTCACATTGACCGTTTGTTCTGTTACAGCCATTACACGTACTGTTACACGTCTCCCGACAGTTATGTCCAAATGTTCCAAAATCACAGACTGTAGGACATAAACTAATGTAAGATAATGTCACTCTCACAATTTACTGTGAGTAGTTTGGTGCAAATGTTCGTTATAAACTTTCTTAGATATAAATTAATTTTTCACCTTTATTGCACAATAACCCTTCAAAACCCTTATCACAACCATTAATGCACGTCCCGTTCATTGGTTGACATTGTTCTAAACGAATACAGCTTCCACAAGGCATGCTACAATTTATTCCATAATATCCCCCATCACATTCTGAAAAAATGTAAACAAATAAGCTTCAATATTCTATTCAAATCCTGCTTGCTAAATCCCTCCGTAGTTTTCTTTTAGTTATGTTGCAGACACATTGTAATTAAACATTGAGTTTTTTTTATGATTTTGTTAAATTTGATGGAAAATGTGATAAATGCTTTGGAAGCCAATTATTTCTCATTTAAAAATTTTTTTTTCATATTTTGCAAGTGACTGGGAAAAAAAACCAAATGTTTTTTTTTTCTAAAACGCTGTTTGAAAACTATTTCACATGTCACAGCTGTATGTTAATCAATAAAAACAAAGTTGAACAAGGAGTGCTTGAAGGAAATCACGACATCAACACTCCCAAATGAATAGTTAATTTAGAATAAAGTTGCAATGCTATACCTTCGTGACAAAATTCTCCTTTCCATCCTGTATGACATCCATTTTCACACACACCGTTTGTTCTGTTACATCCCTTACATGTTTCATTACAAGTGTGATTACAATTTTCTCCAAAGTATCCATCTGCGCATGCTTAATGATAAGTATAAAACAGGTACATATTATCTTCCCATTGTATCACATTTTCTTACTTTTGCTAAAATTGCAAAATTCTTGACAGTGAAATTTGTACATATCTATATTTTCATATACTGTAGATTCCTTATTTTTCGCGAGTACTTTTTATCGCGAATGGGCTCTTCAACTTCAAAGCGCGAGGAGAATAATTCGCAAACGGACGTTTGATCTAGAACTTTTACATAGACTTCACAACCATAAAAAAGCGAGTATTTTTATTTCGCGATTGGTGCGTCTCGCGAAATTACGCGATAATTATTTGCACGCGTATATTTAATAGGAATCTACAATACATGTATTTTTAATACTTTTATTGCAAAAGACCCCTTCATATCCGCCAGAGCATCCACCAGAACACGTTCCATTTACTGGGTTACATTCTTTGGATGATTTGCAGTGTCCACAAGATAGATTACAAAACTCTCCAAAAAATCCATCATCACATTCTGAAAATTTTATGAAAAACCATTGCTTTTCGCAACAACTTATAAACATTATATGTCATAGACCCATTTGTGTTTATTATAAATTTTTATATGCAAGCACTGACACAGCGTACCTTGATGACAATATTCACCCTTCCACCCCGGCTGACATCCAGTGTCACATTGACCGTTTGTTCTGTTACAACCATTACACGTACTGTTACATGTCTCCTGACAGTTACGTCCAAAATATCCTACTTCACAGGCTGCAAGAAATTAAATCTCGTAACAAAATACCACTTTCACATTTCTAATTGACGCAATAATTGAAGATGAATAATCGAAAATTTCCTGAAATATGAGATTCGTATTGAGGTTTGTCTTACATTTGTTGCAAAAATTCCCTTCATACCCCTCAGCACAACCGTTCATGCATGTTCCATTACTTGGCTGACATTGTTCTGAGTTTAAACAGTTTCCACAAATCATGCTGCAATTATTTCCATACAAGCCACCATCGCATTCTGAAGTTCGAAAAAAAAATTATGAGAACTTGAATTTCTCATTTTGATTTCTTTTACGGGTTTTACATCCCTTAAAATTTCGATTTAAACGCATCTGATTTCTAAAGTGACATAATTTACCTTGGTGACAGTATTCACCCTTCCACCCTGGCTGACACCCAGTGTCACATTTACCATTTCTTCTATTACACCCATAACAAGTACTGTTACAAGTTTCCATACAGTTACGTCCAAATGTCCTGTTTTCACAGGCTGTTAGGTGAAGCAATAAAATGTTCTCATAAGTTAATGAGAAAATGCTTGAAACAAGAGGCCCATGGGCCACATCGCTCACCCGAGCATTGTGGCTAGGAAAAAGTAGTAATTGGTTTACTATTGAAAAGTTTGAATCCAAAAGTTTGGCCCCGCTCTACCCCCGGGGATCATGATTTGAACAAACTTGAATCTACACTACCTGAGGGTGCTTCCATATAAATATGAGCAATTATGGCTTTGCTATTCTTGAGAAGAAGATTTTTAAAGAATTTTCCTATATATTTCTATATAAAACTTTGGTTGGCCATTGTGGCCCCGCCCTACCCCCGGGGGTCATGATTTGAACAAACTTAATTCTACATTACCTGGGGATGCTTCCATATAAATATGAGCAATTATAACTCTGCTGTTCTTGAGAAGAAGATTTTAAAAGAATTTTCCTATATATTTCTATATAAAACTTTGGTCGGCCATTGTGGCCCCGCCCTACCCCCGGGGGTCATGATTTGAACAAACTTGAATCTACACTAACTGAAGGATGCTTCCATATAAATATGAGAAATTATGACTTTGCTGTTCTTGAGAAGAAGATTTTTAAAGAATTTTCCTATATATTTCTATGTAAACTTTGGTCGGCCATTGTGGCCCCGCCCTACCCCCGGGGGTCATGATTTGAACAAACTTGAATCTACACTACTTGGGGATGCTTCCATATAAATATGAGCAATTATGGCTTTGCTGTTCTTGAGAAGAAAATTTTAAAAGAATTTTCCTATATATTTCTATGTAAAACTTTGGTCGGCCATTGTGGTCCCGCCCCACCCCCGGGGGTCATGATTTGAACAAACTTGAATCTACATTACCTGGGAATGCTTCCATATAAATATGAGCAATAATGGCTTTGTTATTCTTTATAAGAAAATTTTTAAAAGAATTTTCCTATATATTTCTATATAAAACTTTGGTCGGCCATTGTGGCCCCGCCCTACCCCCGGGGGTCATGATTTGAACAAACTTGAATCTACACTAACTGAGGATGCTTCCATATAAATATGAGAAATTATGACTTTGCTGTTCTTGAGAAGAAGATTTTTAAAGAATTTTCCTATATATTTCTATGTAAACTTTGGTCGGCCATTGTGGCCCCGCCCTACCCCCGGGAGTCATGATTTGAACAAACTTGAATCTACACTACCTGGGGATGCTTCCACATAAATATGAGCAATTCTGGCTTTGCTGTTCTTAAGAAGAAGATTTTTAAAGAATTTTCCTATGTATTTCTATATAAAACTTTGGTCGGCCATTTTGGCCCCGCCCCACCCCCGGGGGTCATGATTTGAACAAACTTGAATCTACACTAACTGAGGATGCTTCCATATAAATATGAGAAATTATGACTTTGCTGTTCTTGAGAAGAAGATTTTTAAAGAATTTTCCTATATATTTCTATGTAAACTTTGGTCGGCCATTGTGGCCCCGCCCTACCCCCGGGAGTCATGATTTGAACAAACTTGAATCTACACTACCTGGGGATGCTTCCACATAAATATAGAGCAATTCTGGCTTTGCTGTTCTTAAGAAGAAGATTTTTAAAGAATTTTCCTATATATTTCTATATAAAACTTTGGTCGGCCATTGTGGCCCCGCCCTACCCCCGGGGGACATGATTTGAACAGAATTTAGACTACCTGAGGATGTTTCCCCATAAGTTTCAATTTTCCTGGCACAGTGGTTCTTAAGAAGAAGATTTTTAAAACATACCACCAAATTTTCACTAATTCTCAATTATCTCCCCTTGAATAAGGGCATGGCCCTTCATTTAAAGAAACTTAAATCCCATTCACCCAAGGATGCTTTGTGGCAAATTTGGTCGAAATTGGCCCAGCAGTTCTTGAGAAGACGTCGAAAATGTGAAAAGTTTACGGACAGACAGACAGACGGACAGACAGACGGACAGACGGACGCCGGACAAAATGTGATCAGAAAAGCTCACTTGAGCCTTCGGCTCAGGTGAGCTAAAAAGCTTACAATGTACTAAGATTTTAAAAGAAAAATATTCAACATATTTGGTCATCTTACTTTCATTGCAAAAATTTCCTTTATATCCCTCATCACAGCCTTTTAAACAAGTCCCGTTATCTGGCTGACATTGTTCTGATCTTAAACATTTACCACAAAGCTGACTGCAATTAATTCCATGAAATCCACTGTCGCATTCTGTAAGATATTAACAATATTAAGTGTTATAATTATACATATTAGATTTTCTCATGTTTTTCCTTTTAGAAATTTAATTTTTGAATGTTTAATTTATTCATAATCCATGCAAAGTAAAACAAACATAAACCTAATTTTTCTCTATTGATTCTTTATTTCTGTTAAAGTCTTTTAAGCTTTGAAGAAATAAACATTAACAAAATAATTAAATTAATTGTTAGTTACAAAATTCATTTACCATTTACACAAATTTTAAAGAAAATATCTATTCAAGAAAAAATATGAAAATGGAAACAGGGAAAAATATCATAAATGGGTTCAAAGATTTATACCTTTCTGACAGAATTCTCCTTTCCAACCAGAATAACATCCATTCTCACAAATCCCATTTGTCCTGTTACACCCATTACATGTATCGTTACACTTGTGAACACAATTTTCTCCAAAGTATCCCTCTGTGCATGCTAAGAAATTAATGAATGGGTCTTTAACAGACATTGTATACTGGTATTTATTAGTTTTTTAACAATTCAAACATATTTGCCAAGTGACTATAATATATAATTGATATAAAAGAATGTGTGTGCATTCTATTTTCTAATATACTTTTGTTGCAGAACAGTCCCTCATATCCCCCATAACATCCATTCAAACAAGTCCCATTCACTGGATGACATTCGTCTTTTGTTTTGCAATGTCCACAAGTCATATTACATTGATCACCAAAGAATCCATCGTCACACTCTGGAATAAATTAAATGCTTGCTTAGTTTATTTTGTGACAAATTTATTATATTTCTTCCTTTCTCAAAACATATATCATAATGTCTTATGACAGGTGTACCCGTCGACAGGGGATGCTAACTCCTCGTAAGCATCTAATCCCACTGCTGATAGTTTTAGGCCGTGCATTATGATCACATGTTTACAGTAATGTATTTTATAGATTATTTGAGATCAAAAAAAGTTATCTTCACCTTTTTCATTATTAATCATTATCATGATGTAGAAGTTTTTAATAATTTTTTTTATTTATATGCAAAAGAAACTGACATCGTTACCTCCAATTTTGCTAAATGCGATCAACTTTTTAAAGATGATTTTCAATGTGTTATTTTATTTAATATTTGCAGTATACTAATACTTCTGTGTTTTTCATTTTAGTCAAAGTTAGAATGACTGTCAAATGATATGGTTTTCATCTGATTGATTAAGAGTGTAAAGAGTTCCTTGTAAAGTGTAAAGAAAAAAAGATACAAAGGCACATGTAAGATTTACAACTTCACTTTCTTAAAAAAAAATGCAAAATAAAAAAAAGAGTATTTGACGTTAACCTTCATGACAGAATTTTCCTTTCCATCCAGGATGACACCCATTCTCACAAATACCGTTTGTTCTGTTACATCCTTTACATGTATCGTTACACTTGTGAACACAATTTTCACCAAAGAATCCATCGGAGCATGCTAAATGATAAATTAAAAAAATCTTTTCTCTTTTTTTTTGAGGATTTAACACAAATACATGATTTTTTAAAAATTAAATAACCTATGTTACAGCATAAACATGTAAATATTGTAAGCTACCCCAGGGGTGGCTAGTATTTCTGAATCCTCAGCATCTATATATAGGCCATAGTTTATCTTCTAAATAAAGCATCTTTTGTCAGGATGTACCAGTAATTAAATTTGTTCTAATATGTTAAACAACCAGGCACCACTCTGTGTAGATTCTTTGTTGAATGATACTCAAGATGGTTGATCAGTCATACTCAGCATTTATTGTATGTGCAGCATCTCATAATCATAACAATACAATATGTAAACATCAATATAAAACAGCTGATTCTTCAGAAACACAAGTTTAGGTCGTCCAGTGTGGTAGGAGATTTCTAACTAGGCTAAATATACGTAAATAACATTATAAGTATCTCACCGTTTTGGTTTTCTTTCTTTTAACTTTCAAATATAGCCGCCATACAACTAGCTGAAATCTGTCGTAACGTAGTACGCGCTTGCTTATATAACCTCCTATTCCCTGTCACATGACTCGAATTATCCAATAAAATTATGCCGTACGAACTATTAACCAATCAAAAGCTTGTACGGGAGGCTGAGTTCCCACACAAGTTCCCACACAGAACTACTTCTGCCACACAAGCTACCGTACAACATCGTAACTAGTTAAACTATGTAAAATTGACAAGTGGAAATATAACACATAAAATAAGCTTGACTAGACGAATTAATAAATTCCTTCAATGTTTATAAAACATCCCTAGACTGTACAATATATGCAGAACAATGTAGCGTAGGAATATCGTAACTACCGACACTAGCGTACACAAATGTAGTCCCGATAAAGCTGACTGATTATAAAGTGAATGCTAACAATAGATAACAACTTGTAGCTTCAAATCACAAAACAACTCAAACTAAAAAGTAGAATACGATCCCATATTCATAACTTCAATAGAACAATGCATTACTAGTAAATACATATAGGTCACCAAACCGGAAATGACGATCCGAGTAAAGTATGATGGCTTCCAAAACATGAAAAGTAAAATCCACCCTCTATTCCCCGATATTATAACTCCTACGATATTACATGAAGCGACAACAGGTAAATTATGACGATAATAGCTATTACTAAAATCGTATCTAGATAAACTGACATATTATTTCCAATAAAATCATAAACGAACAACTTTCCTGGCAGGCACATGTTGAACATAGATTTAACAAGAATGAGAACTGGACGACCGCATAATATTACGTTTACAAATCAAGTGATATATTACACTCCCCACAACTTAATAACAAAATTCTCCTGAATTTAACATGTACAGAATATAGCTCTTTACAGTCTTTAACACTTTCACAATCTAATAGGAATGTCCGTAGAGTCAATGGTGGAGAGGAAGTCATCAGTGGAACGGTCTCTGAGGGCACATGATCTCTCCAGCATCCTTATCCAGGTGGGATCTCCATTGTCTTCACTTACAATGGTCTTGAGCTGTTCGTAGATGTAATACCGAGCCTTGCGAACAATGTGCGCTTCCTTCTTCCCCTGTTTCTCTACTGTGCCTGGAAGTGCCAAGAAGTTGAACTTGTCTAGAAGATCTATTCGTTCGATGGTGGAACTTTTTGTCGGGTCCATCCTCTGTTGTAGCATCATTGATGCGTATTCCCACGATAAGAGTTTCCTGTCTGCGGACATGGCCTGCCAATCTGTAGGGGGCCATGTGATGCTAACATCCTTGTATTTAAGCGTTATTTGTGTGGAACTCCAATCCCTTCTGGCAGGGGGGAATAGTGGGAGGCATCCTCGCTTTAATAGGTTGAGGGCCCTCTCCGACATACTAGCTATGGGTTTTTCATTAGGTTCTTTCTGTGAGGCCAGCTCAAACAAAACTTCCTCTGTGGGTGGTGCAGGGAGAGCAGGGGTGGGGCTCAGCCTTATCTTCTTAGTTGGAGGACTGGCAGGATTGGCCTCTGTCTCTTGGGAGGAGTAAATCTGGTCCAGATGAGTACGTTCAACTCCAACAAACTTAATCAACCTATTCTGAATGGTTGGTGAGGTTACCGGTCTCATTTTCTGTAGATTGGACTGAGGAGCTTCAACCCTCTTCTGGACAGACATTTTCCTCGACAGGCTGGCAATACCCTTGGCATCTGATAAAATTGCTTCCTTCAAGATGATCTTGTACACTTGTCTGCCCTGGCCCACAAACACACATATGTTCCCCAAGACGAGGGAGACATACAAAATCTCGAGCTCTTCTACCTCTGGGGCGGTGGGGGTGTAGCATACTGTATTCAGCTCCTCCTCATAGTCGGGCTGGAAGAGTGATTCTGGGGTTGGCGCCCGTGCTTTGCCGTTCTTCTTGAGCTGGTCCCAGCCTCTCTGCCAGTCGTCCTTCTTTCATGACATTCTCCTTGCTGTTGACAACCACTCCAAAACTAGCACTCTTGCGTGGGTGGCAGACGTACTTCCCCAATCCGTCCCATTCACCAGGCGACTGTACCCTTCTGGATCGAGGCTAAACCACACTCCGTTGTTCTCCGAAATCAAATCTGACGGATATTTAGCAAGTTGAGTAGGGTGGGTGGTTTTAATATGGCTCCTGAGGTCGGTCATTCTCTTGTAAGTCCTTTCATCAAGGCACCAGGGGCAAATAACTCGCATGGTTCCGTGTGCTGGCATCATGTGATTCTTCAAATCTCTGCTGGAGGGAAACTTCAGGTGGCACACCCAACATTCCATATCCATAGTCTAAAATTAAATCAATTGGTTGTTAAAGGCGTTTATGGGTCATCTTATATCGTCTTAGCTTCTAAGAGAATTTCTTCGTTGTTTAAACTAAATACGAAATCATAACATCTGTCATCTCATACTTCTACTTCTAAAGTTAGCTACTTCATGTACTAACATCTACATCTAAATCTCTAAGAGACTGGTTAGAACAAGACATCAAACATCTATTAGATTCAGTGCGTGATGTGTACCAGGTAGTAGGTCCACGTCTATAATACTGTCTTATAAACGACTTGTTAACCATCTCTATCAACATCTTTGGGAGAAGAGTTCTGGGTGATCAGGCCAGCTCTATCCCAACCTCAGTGGTGCACCAATCTCACATCTATCGTCTACATAAACATCTAAGTATGACTTCTTAAACTAACATGAAACATAAGAATACAAAACAACATCTGAAGAAACTTCTATGGTTTATTCAAAATTTTCTTAAACCAGTTGGGGAGGGTTTTCCCTTTGTAAGACATCAATGTATCAACATGATAAATTTTTGCGGGTTTTCGGAATGTCCTTTGCACGAGGTAGTTCAAATCATCTATTCGCTTAGTGATGAGATAAGGACCTTTCCATTTAGAAGTTAGTTTTGGACACACTCCAACTTTCCTGGTATCGTCATACAGCCAGACAGGTTGACCTCTTTCAAACAATTGTTTCTTTGCTTTGAGATCATAGTGACGTTTATTGTATTCTGTGCTCTTTTTCAGGTGTTTCCTGGCCAGGGCATGAACATCTGTCAAAATTCTTTGCAGCTCATCAATATACTCATTTGGTTCTATGCCATCATCTTTCTGATTTGGAGGTTTGCCAACAACTGCTTCTAGGGGTAGAGTAACATTTCTGCCTAACATCATGAGATTTGGTGTTGTATTGATACTTGAATGTATGGAAGCTCGGTATGCCATCATGACTTGTGGGAGATACTTATCCCATGTTCTCTGGTTGTGCTCACAGTACATAGTCAACATAGTAGCTAGGGTGCGATTAAAGCGTTCGACACTGCCATTAGCTTGAGGATGCATACTACTTGTCCTAGTTTTGTCAATATGGAGGAGTTCACACATCTCTTTAAAGGCTTTTGACTCGAAGTTTCTTCCCTGATCTGAGTGGACTTGTAAAGGTGTACCAAAACGACAGACTACTTCATTGACAAATGTTGTTATGACAGTCTCAGCTTCTTGATCCGGGATAGCTATAGCCTCGGTCCATTTCGTGAAGCAATCAATCATAACCAGTATGTATCTATTACCTTTTGTAGACTCAGGAAGGGGTCCCAGAATGTCTAGAGCTATTCTTTCCATTGGCTCTCCAACTGTGTACTGCCCTAGTGGTGCTCTGTTCTGCTTTTGACTGGATTTACGAGCAGCACAGGAATCACATCTTTTACAATATCTAGCAATTTCTTTTGACATTGATGGCCAATAAAATGAATTTTTGATACGTGATGTGGTCTTCTCAGCACCAAGGTGACCTCCTGTGGGGACATCATGAAAGTAATGAATAACCTCTGACCTCTTCTGTTTTGGTACAACCAATTGTAATATGACCTTGTTTGTATCCCCCTCTTGGAACTCTCTGTATAACAGACCATTGATGACTTTCAGTCTATCCCATTGTCTCCATAAGGTTTTGAATGCTTCAGAATTGTGTGATATGACATCCCATTTTGGTCTATCAGAATCATCTGTCAAGGCTAGCAAAAGCATACCCATGGATTGGTCTTCCAGTTGCATCTGTCGAATTTCATCCACTTCCCATCCCTCTAGTATTACTTGGTTCCTGAATTGGCATTGAGCTGTTTCTTTACTTCTAGTTGTCACTCTGACTGTTTGCAGGGATTCCTGGTCTTCATTTTCATGAGATTTTTCAGTATCACTATCATCACTGTCATCTTTGTTTTGTTGTTGCCTTAGACAGGGTTTGCAAGGATTTCTCGACAAAGCGTCTGCATTTTGATGACTACGCCCTGGGCGGTGAGTAACAGTAAGGTCATAAGTCTCGATCTCTTGAAGCCATCGTACTGTTTGACCGGTGGGGTTTTTCAAGCTTCTGACCCAGCTGACAGCGGCATTATCAGTGCGAAGTATAAGCTTCTGGCCATAAAGGTAGGGATGCAACTTCCGAAGGGCAGTGACAACAGCTAGCAACTCTTTACGTGTGACACAATAGGAATGCTCATGGCGATTCATTGTTTTACTCATATAGGCGATAACTCTTTCCTTGCCCTCTTGATTTTGTGACAAAACTGCGCCAACAGCTTTATCGCTGGCATCTGTATCTAGAGTAAATGGTAGTCCTGGTAATGGAAATCCAAGTATTGGTGAAGTTGTAAGAGCTGTTTTGAGGGTGTCAAATGCATTCTGACATTCAGGGGTCCATATGAACTTCGTCTTTTTCTTGTACAAATCATGGAGGGGCTTTGCTATCTCTGCAAAATTCTTCACAAATCTTCTGTAGTAAGAACAAAGTCCAAGGAATGATCGAATTTGTCTTTCATTCTTGGGGATTGGCCAGTTTTTGACAGCAGATGTTTTCTCTGTATCTGTCTGGATACCTTGTGAAGAAACTACATGGCCTAGGAATTTGACCTGATTTTGGAAGAATATACATTTTGATGGCTTGAGCTTCAGATTTGCTTCTTGGAGTCTTGTGAAAATATTGGCTAAGCGCTGAAGGCCTTCGTCAAAAGTTGAACTGTGGGAAATTATGTCATCCATATAGACTAAGCATTCAGTCCACTGTAGACCCTTTAGTACATTCTCCATCAGTCGCTCAAATGTAGACGGAGCATTAACCAGACCAAACGGCATGACTCGAAATTGGAAAAGTCCTAATGTTGTAACAAAGGCAGTCTTCTCTTTGTCCTTTTCAGCATCTCGATTTGCCAGAAGCCTGAATTTAGGTCCATTGTTGAAAACCATTTGGCACCAGAAAGTGAATCAAGGCACTCGTCAATACGAGGCAACGGATAGGCGTCTTTCACAGTTTTCGCATTCAACTGTCTGTAGTCGACACATGCTCTAGTGGCTCCATTCGGTTTAGCTACTAAAACTAGATTTGATGCCCAGGCACTGGTGGATGGTTCAATTACACCTTTTTGTATCATGTTCTGTACTTCACTTCTTTCAATATCTCTTTTTGCTATAGGCTGTCTTCTTAGGGGCTGTCTCACAGGCTTTTCATTTTCTGTATCTATCCTGTGTTTTATTATACCAGTGCAGCCAAGATCATCTGGTGTCTTGGAAAATACATCTTTGTGCTGTAGGAGTAGTTTGAAGAAGGCATCTTTCTGTTCTCGGTCTAGATTTATCGAACTTCTTTCAAACATGTCCAGGAGATGTTCTGGTAAATCTTTTTCAGGAGTTGTATTTTCTTTGGTTCCCTGAAGAACTAAGACTCTCTGTGGTAATATACCATGGTCCACTAAATATGTGTTCCTGCATTTACCAATTGTAGTTCTTGCTTGTAGTTTTACAGGTACTTCTCCAAAGTTTACAATGTTTACATGTATCTGATCAGACTGGGTATCTATCAAACCATCCAAAACTTGTATGTCATCGCTGAAGGTGTTAAGTTGCTCTAGGAACCCTATGTCTGTGAGGTCATCATTCTCGGTCAGAGCTACTGGAACCCAGATGCCACAATTTGCAGGTATGGAAACTGTTCTCTTGACCTCTACATTTGTACCCGTTTGATCATTGGCAATCCAGCATTGAACAGTTGTCATCTCAGTTTGTAATGTTTTTGTTTTGTAGTCGCTGTGACGACAATACTGCAAGAGGAAGTCTTGTCCGAGTATAGCAGGAAGATCCATGTCAACCACCACCAAGTCAATTGCATGTGGAACATCTTCTAGATAAATGTAAAACTTTCCTATACCATGGACGGACAATGCGTGACCATTCAAATCTTGCACACATATATTTGAGGGTTGAAGGACAGGACAGGACTCCTCTGGGATCTTCAGAAATTCAACATGTGACAAAAGTGATGCAGTAGAACCACTGTCTAATAAAAAATTAACATCCAACACACCCAATGTTCCAGTAATATGGAAACCATTGTCTAAGATTTTTTTCTCTTTATTTAAAACCACCCCCCTTGAGTCATCAGGACTAGGTCTTGGCTTATCCACCAGTTGTCGACCTACAAGGCTGATGGTCTCCCATTTCCCTGTTGGTAGTTTTGTCGCCTTTGTACATCTTGATTTCTTCTCTGCCCAGGTCTTGGTTTGTCCAAATAAGGACAGTCTTTGATGAAATGTTTAGGGGAGTTGCAATGGAAACAGAGCTGAGGGGAAAGCTTCTTGTTAGCTCTTTCCAAACGGTCCAATCTGTTACTGATTTCTTGTATAATTGTAGATGAATCAGGGGCGTTGCATCTAGATGCAGCAGGGGATGTTAACTTATTGGACACCGGCACAGCTTGGGGAACATTGAATTCCTCATCAATTGTTTTCACAGCTCTAGCATGTTGTTTCTTTTTGTCGTAGTTTTCACCAAGGATGGCTTCATATCTGTCAATTATGTCTGCGGCTTCTGAAATACTCTGACAATCTTTATCAATACATCTGCACTTCATCTCGACACTTATCAGCTTGTAAAGGTGATTTAAGGCTAAAATTTCTTGAGCTTGCTCATCTAAATTGCAGTAAGCTTTCTGAACCATTTGTCGGATATCATCACCTAGAGCAGCAGCACTCTCGCCCTGTTGTCGTCTGCGTGATTCAAGCTTAGCTAACCATTTGTTCTGGTGTCTCGAATTTCCAAATCGCTGACTAAACTTGTTGGTAAGTACATCAAAGGATCTTCTTTCAAGCAAGGATAAGCTCATGTAAAATGTCCTGGCTTGGCCTCTTAAGCTTGCAGCAAGGAACAGAACCTTATCTCTCTCTGTCCATAGGCTTAGTTCTGCACAGTCATTGAAATGTGAGATGTACTCTTCCCAGCTTACAGTACCATCATAGGACTCAGGTTTCATCGTGTAATTTACAGGTTGGATAGGGCTTGAAAATATCTGAGGAGCAGGTCTTCCAGAAAAACCACTGTAGGCACTAGGTGGACCATGATTGTCTTCATTTCCTCTGGGAGACGATCTTTCTAAAAGTACCTCATTGCTCGACTTCTGATGTTCGTCATACGTGTCACCTTGACCGCCATCGTCAAACATTACCGACTGAGGCACACGTACTTCGACTTCATGATCGACCGACTCACCGGATTCTGACATCTTAATTTTCTTTATGTCGTCTTAAATAAGCAGTAATAATTCTAATGTTAAATCTATGTCATCTTATCTTCTAAGACTGTAATGTTGATGTTAAACTACCACACTGGACGGCTCATGGGCTCGTATCAGGACACTAAAATAATTTAGTATCCCACTTCTGACACCAGTTTGTAAGCTACCCCAGGGGTGGCTAGTATTTCTGAATCCTCAGCATCTATATATAGGCCATAGTTTATCTTCTAAATAAAGCATCTTTTGTCAGGATGTACCAGTAATTAAATTTGTTCTAATATGTTAAACAACCAGGCACCACTCTGTGTAGCTTCTTTGTTGAATGATACTCAAGATGGTTGATCAGTCATACTCAGCATTTATTGTATGTGCAGCATCTCATAATCATAACAATACAATATGTAAACATCAATATAAAACAGCTGATTCTTCAGAAACACAAGTTTAGGTCGTCCAGTGTGGTAGGAGATTTCTAACTAGGCTAAATATACGTAAATAACATTATAAGTATCTCACCGTTTTGGTTTTCTTTCTTTTAACTTTCAAATATAGCCGCCATACAACTAGCTGAAATCTGTCATAACGTAGTACGCGCTTGCTTATATAACCTCCTATTCCCTGTCACATGACTCGAATTATCCAATAAAATTATGCCGTACGAACTATTAACCAATCAAAAGCTTGTACGGGAGGCTGAGTTCCCACACAAGTTCCCACACAGAACTACTTCTGCCACACAAGCTACCGTACAACATCGTAACTAGTAAAACTATGTAAAATTGACAAGTGGAAATATAACACATAAAATAAGCTTGACTAGACGAATTAATAAATTCCTTCAATGTTTATAAAACATCCCTAGACTGTACAATATATGCAGAACAATGTAGCGTAGGAATATCGTAACTACCGACACTAGCGTACACAAATGTAGTCCCGATAAAGCTGACTGATTATAAAGTGAATGCTAACAATAAATAACAACTTGTAGCTTCAAATCACAAAACAACTCAAACTAAAAAGTAGAATACGATCCCATATTCATAACTTCAATAGAACAATGCATTACTAGTAAATACATATAGGTCACCAAACCGGAAATGACGATCCGAGTAAAGTATGATGGCTTCCAAAACATGAAAAGTAAAATCCACCCTCTATTCCCCGATATTATAACTCCTACGATATTACATGAAGCGACAACAGGTAAATTATGATGATAATAGCTATTACTAAAATCGTATCTAGATAAGCTGACATATTATTTCCAATAAAATCATAAACGAACAACTTTCCTGGCAGGCACATGTTGAACATAGATTTAACAAGAATGAGAACTGGACGACCGCATAATATTACGTTTACAAATCAAGTGATATATTACAATATTTCTCTCAATTCTCATTTTACTTTTATTGCAGATCATTCCCTCATATCCTGCAGTACACCCATTCAAACACGTCCCATTTATCGGGTGACACTTTTCTTCATTTTTACAAAATCCACAACTCAAAGAACAATTCTGGCCAAAAAATCCACCATCACATGCTGAAAAAACAGTGCGTTTTAAATAGTGTTATGAAAACCTGTTAAACTTCAAGATCTTTTGAAAATTCAGAAATACATTTTACTATGAATTAAGCTACTATAACAACGTTTATTTTCATCAACAACGTATAAACTAAGTAAATGCTGTAAAACACTTAAAATATTAATTTACTTTTTGACTCTCAAATGTGCATTTCACCTTTTTACAACTTTTTTTTCTCCTGAAGCCTCTTGTTCTTGCATTTACAGTTGTGAATGCTTGCAACGCTTTTTAAAATTACGTAGGTACTTAAGGACGTTCGATCCTGAGCATTTGAGCGGATTTTGGTCCTGTCCTTTATTTTAAAAAAAATCTGCATTATTTTTAAGTTCTAACATTAAATCTGGATTCTACAATGCAAATTGAACTATATTCGATAGAAAACTGCGATTATATTCCATTCAAAAAGAATTAAACTGGGAGCTTTATTTTGTGGCGGAAGGTTTTTTTTTTAGAAGAAAATGATCAATTTTTCCTTTTAAACTATAACAGTACTGTTAGCTATAGATTCCTATTTTTCCATGCTGGTTGCACACAAAGCTGTTTTTTTTTTGCAGTGAAATGTGTTATGCTGGTTCTGAAATATCTTTTAAATTATTTCTTATGAATTCTTTCAACGAAGTATGACAAATATAGTAAATATATTCTGAAAATCCGGGAAAAAATTGTGCAAATTTTAACATAAAATTGACACTTTTTCAGTAATATCTGAAAATTTACATCATATACCCCCACTTTTTATGTTCTTTTTCTAAATATTTAAGATAACTTTGACCTCTTTGCTTAGATTCGGAAAAAAGTTTAAGACTTTAAATAATTTTCTTGCTTATTAAATTTTCACTGCCAGAAAAATCAGATTTTGTTGGTGCAGAAAGGTCAGATAACTGATTATGCGAAGGAATTTGAACCTTTTTCTTAGTCACAATTTTAAAGTGTCTTTTTTAAAAAAGACTTAGAGTTCATTTGTTTCATGCTTTAATTGGATAAAAATATTGAAGGGAAAACGCCGAAGATGTAAATTTTAATTAAGGCACAAATTTCAGTGCCAAAAGGTCATATCAAATATACTGTAGCGCCAAAAGAAGTACACTGACCCCCATATTTTGATTTGATTTTTAATTAAGCTATGTGTATAGAAAGTAAAAGAATACTTGGCAAAAAAAGTTTAAGACTTTTTAAATATCAGGATCGAACGTCGTTAAAAATGTAACGGATCCCAAATGGATGTTTAATTTGAGCTTCGTTTTTCATTCATCGTGAGCAAACCTTTATTACTATATATATTTTTTGTAAACTATCAATGATTTCGATTTAGGCAAAGTATGACATATTTCAAAGATGTTCAGCCTGAAAGACAGATGTTTGTATATTTTATGTAACATGTTGTGAATTACTATACACATAAATTATAAATCATGCTTTTGCATGTCTTTAACTGTGTATGTATAAAACTATGTATAAAGAACAAGTAACAAATGTCCCGGTTCATCTGCAAAATACCTTGATGACAATATTCACCCTTCCACCCCGGCTGACATCCAGTGTCACATTGACCGTTTGTTCTATTACAACCATGACACGTAATGTTACATGTCTCCTGACAGTTATGTCCAAATGCTCCATCTTCACAGGCTGAAAGATATAAACCTTGGTATGACCAAATAGTACTCAAACATGTATTAGGGCATATGCACGTTATTGAAATCCATTTTTTTTTCATGCATATAGCAAGACGATGTGATAACCATGTATATCGTACTTTCATTGCAAAATATCCCCTTATATCCTTCATCACATCCATTCATGCATGTTCCATTAACTGGGTGACATTGTTCCAAGTTTAAACAGTTTCCACAAAGCATACTGCAATTATTTCCATACAAGCCACCTCCACATTCTGGAAAATATCAGTAAAGCGATCTTATGACAATTTAATTACCTCACGATTCTTGTCTTCTAGATTATTTTTGGGTTTTCAAAGAAAGAAAGCCAGAAAAACATCCCCTGTTTAATTCTATAAAACAGTTTTACCTTTTAGTAAAAAATATATCGATGGAATGAATTGTAATGAAGAAAGTTGAATATCAACACAAATCTATCATTATTATCATTATTTCCCCTTCTAATGTCTAATGTTAAACTCTTTCGCGAAAGAGAAGGGACATTAAATCCAATTCATCTGCCAGTTTGTCCTTCTATATACACCTCATCTTTTATATTTTAAGTTTACATTACCTTTTATAACCTTATGGCCACCTTTTACTCTAGAAAATATAGGGCTTTCGTTTTTTTTTTGTTTTGTTTTTTTTTTTTGTTTTACATTTGCATCAGTTATGACAAGACTTTCTACGTATATAATTGGCGTGGACGTTTGATGGAGTTTTCAGAAGCCTTAAATTTAGCCGTAAGTAGAATTATTCAAAGAATTTTTCGTATTGGCATGATGCACAGGTATGACACGCAACACATACAAAACATAGTTAGTTAAAATAGACCATAAATTATTGAATCCCAATCGCTTATACATCGAAAGGGACACAATTCTTTGAATTTGGTTGTGTTGTAAAGACGTATATAAACTCTTCAAGTATAATAATGTATCATTAAAGTTACTGTATTTAAAGAAGTTACCCTGCTCGCACCATCTGCCCTTGTAACCCGGCGCACACTTCGAACACTCTCCTGATTCTATATGACAATACTCCAGACATTTTACTGGACATGGCTGAGAACAGTCTGATCCATAGTGTGTAGGGTCGGAACAACCTTATAATATTGTGAAAATATTATTATTCATGGCACACATTTTGCTATCTTCAGAGGACAAAACATAAGATAAACGTTAATAACATTTCTTGGCTAAGTATCGATCTATCAGATGATAGAGAGACCCGAGACATTTTTTGGCCTCAGATATACTTTTAGATTGTAATATATATGAAAAGGAAGACGGAACTAGAACTCTGTGAAGATTAATTCTATTCATTTTTTCTATGTTTTTTTCTACTTCACGGAAAACCTACCATAAACCTCGACTTCACACAGCTCGGCGAAGGCATATTGGGAATAGTCAGCTGGATAACTAACAGCCGGAAGTCTCTCGTTATAATAGATGACGTATTGTCCGTGTACAGGACAGCTGATGTTAGCGACAGCTGGTATCGTAGCTCTGGTGTGGTCTGTGTCATGGAAACATAAAGCACCATCGCCTCTGTCTGTTGTATTCGAAATATACACATGGAATCCTAGAAATCTTGTTGTGTAACCATTTGATGGGCCTGAAAATTTTCGAATCGTAATCTTTATAAGTGTTAACATGTACATCTCCCAACGCATTTGATACTTAAGAAAATCGAGAACGATCAGTTTTTAAACCGAGGCAGTCTACTGACAGATAAATTGATGTTACATGGATTTCAATAACCTCGTTTAATGTCAGCATTTTATAAATTCTATCGTCGTTATAATGATTAAGTTAGCAAATATAACCTATAATTGAGTGGTATTTGGCTGACATATTTATATCGATTGTTGAGTCTATATTTTCATGTAAATATAACAACTGAATGGTCCGTCGTCCTGATCAATGGAAAGAGCTCACAGACGGTGTCATCGGTCAAAATCGTATGCCTACTCCTCCTAGTTACCTTATGCCTAGGTCACATTTCTCGGCCGGTAGCCGTAGACCGGTGATAATCGGTAGTAATCCATGGTGTTAACGATGCCCCAACATCGGTCCACATCGGCCAAGTAGTCCTAAAAGTATCAGTCACATTATCCAGCGATGTGCATACGATGGGCAACCAATGCGTTTTATGAGAAAAATGGCGTGGTTGCCGGTCGGACTTACAAAGGCCCAGCGATGCATTGCTAATCATAAAATGATGTTCCAGGATAATCGGCCGATGTATATTACATCGCTCATATATTGGTGAACATCGTTCGTACATCGGTCGACTACGGGCCAATGTTTGGTCGAACATCGACTGATGACCGGTCGTTATCTGTTGAACACCACTAAACTCCCCGATGACCTCAGATTCAACGGATATTGGACGATGCTCGGCCATACATCGGCCGATCCTTGAAAGATGTGTTAATGATGGGTTGCCGATAAGGAGCGATGTAAGGCATCGTTGGAGACATCGCTGAATTCTAACTACGAATTATTTCCTACCGATGACCCTACCGATTCGCAAAAAAAGAATCAGTCACCGTCCGATCACTAGTTGTGCCCGGCCGGCAACCACGCCATTTTCATCAAAAAACGCATCGATTTCTCATCGTTAACCCCATCGTTGGATAATGTGACTTATACTTTAATTACAACATCTGGAATTTTTATTCGCCAAATTTAAATGTCGAAGAGCCAGAAATAGTATTTATGGATTGAAAAAATACATATACTCTTATGATGAACTAAGTTGATAGTAATATTATTCATCAAAGTCTATTACCGCTTTTTCTCAATAAATTATTATATAATATGTATATATAAGAAAACATTTTAAATCTACAGTTACTAGTATTGTACCTACTCCAAGCGACGTTGTCAGTTCTGTAATAAATGACTATGTAGTCAATGCCTCGTACTCCCTCTAGGTTGACCCACCACGTGGCAGTTGTTTCCCCATTTCTCGTTACACTACACTGTCCTCCGCCATAGGAGAGATCGGTTTTCATTCCATCCACTGCTTTTACAGAACCACTGAATGAAGGGTCGTGACTTGTGCTTTGTCCTGTAGGTCTACGCAATGCTAAATTTTCTGAAAGAAGAGAAGAAGTACTGCGGTCATGGAAAGCAATTATATTTGATGTAGTCCGATCATCAGGTTTTGAAAAAGAGAAGTTATTTGGAAATTAAAAAATCTCTATAATTTCACATATTAAGGACATTATACGGAAGCTATGCAATATTTATTTCAACAAATTTACATAAAAAATGATTAAAAAAAAATGAACAATTGTATTCAGGTATTTGGAAAACTATTTCCAAGTTTTTTTTTTAGTTTTATTTACATGTACTTCACATTAAATATTGTACATGCAACAGGTATTTGTATTTTATATTCTAATAGCAAGACATCACACACACATTTTAATTTCACATCACGCTAATACATGTAACTTTTCCTATCTATGTCTAGATTGAAGGGAATTTTTGTACTTTTATGGGGATATTATTGTATCTTTTTTTCTGTTTCCTAGACTACACAACGAAATGAAAATATTTTGCATGGAAGAATTTTGATATCTTCAATCTGAGATTTAAAAAAGAATAGATATTAGTTCTAAGAGTTATCGTTTTGGCTGAGCAGCATGTATCCTTAAGATAAAAAAAACCTAAGTATAGAAATTTCCATTAATCTTTGCAAAAGGATTACCTTTCCCGATAACCTCATATTCAGTTAAATCAAATACACAACAAATAACTAAATATTTTCTCTCAAAATTCCAAATTTTTCTATCTTTTCTTTATTCAGAGTCAAATTTGTCCCATTTTTGCGACCTTGACTTTTCTTTTAAAAATTATGCTCTTTATTTTTCTTTATTCTCGATAAATAAATGAAAATTGATGTCTTAGTCCACAATGGTTGTGATTTAATTTTTCAAGAAAGATCGTCCCAGTAGACCTTTATGCAATTATGTTGACTACTGCAGTTAAATCCTAGATACGAGGGCTGTTCAATGGATAATATCCTTGGTGCTCAGAAAACTTAAAAAAAACTTTTCAATGATTTAGTCTAAATGATTTCACTTTAATATTCTCTTTTCATTAAATCACATGTCCGTAACATTTTTATCCAATATCTGATTGCTTTTAGAAGACATTTTTGAGTATGGCCCTTCGTATACTGTGATTATGGCAGATCCTATGATTTGTGGAACTTGTTTCTTCTTTCGGAAAGGTGTTTTATCAAGTTTGGAAAATGACAGAAGTCAGTTGGTGAAAGATCTGGTGAATATTGTTGGTGTGACAAAACATAAACTTTCTGTTTACCACCAAAACTCCTTTACTCAGGTGGATTCCTGATTCTGATTCCATCCTCTCATAAATCTTTCGATTTTTTTAAATTGCTTTCTAGACTTCTCTAGAAATTGAACTGCCTTCCCGAATAAGACTGTGGCTGACATATTTATATCGATTGTTGAGTCTATATATATCTATATAAATCAACAAGCCCTCTAATATTAAAAAAAGGCATATAAACTTGTTTTGTGCTTTTGCAATTCTTTGGTCTTCTAAGACCCAGGTTGTTTTTGTTGAGTGCATCTTCTTGTAAATTTATTTTAATGGTTTAAAGCAATGAATGCAAGTTTCATTATCTGTTTGAATTTCAGAAAAAAAACGTTGATAACTACAATTTTTGATTTTAAAAAAAAAAGTAATTGTTTAGATATCCTTACACGCTGTCGTTTGTCACTTATTTTTTTCAAAACATTGGGTGACCATTGAGTACTAAGCTTTTTATTGTCAAATGTTTTTGAAACAGTGTAAACTACCCCCAACGTTAAGCTATGTGTATTAAAGTCAATCCAACAGCATCAGAAATTTGTTGAAATTTGGCAAACAGTACATTGGTTGTTGTAAGTCCTTGTCGCCAAGGACATGCCCATTTTTGATGCCCATTATACGGTATCATTTTCTTTATTCAAACCTATGCACCTGCTCAGATGTCTATAAAACAGACATTGGCTGCTGTGTATTCCACATATTTCAGTGAATATTTCTTTGGGATTCTTAACGAGTTTTACAGTAGCTTTGATAAAGCGTTTAATTTCACTCTAGTTTACTGATTCTTTACCATTCATTTTTAATGCAGTGTCGCGATTAGTCCGTGTTTTCCAGCTTCTCACAATGACAATATGTGACGGAAAATGGTCATATAAATTGCAATCAAGTCATTAAAGATTCAATCATGAGAAGAAAAAAAATCAAGCTTAATGCCCTATGATTTCTATGTTGTATTTGATAGAGCTTGCAAATGTAATTTAAGATATTTTTTCCATAAATCCTTCTCTATTCTAATTAAAAAACTCGTTTATATTTGAGTGAGTGATGAATATTTAAAAATAGAAGTCTTAAGGTCTTATAGCACTATTATACCTTATTTCTTAAAATTATAAATTTAAGTTTAAATTAATTTTAATCGTATATAATGTAACCGTGAGTACTCATTTATTTGTACATCACCCAAAAAATTAATAATACGTTAGTATTATTTTAAGTTGATGAAGTCCCTTTGAACTCAATGAAAGGTTATAGTAACATCTTTACATATTTTTTCCAAAGGCTTAGGCTTAGAGATGAACTTACCATATCTTTGATCACGACAGTCACAGCTATTAGCTTGCTTTTCGTAAATTGTTTTTATTTACTTGAGTACATGAACAGGGTGTCAAAGGTGATATATATATATATATATATATATATATATATATATATATATATATATATATATATATATATATATATATATATATATATATATATATATATATATATATTATTATTATTATTATTATTATTATTCCACTCTTAAATTGGTTACATTGTATTTTGAGATGTAATAAAAACTCTTCACAAAGATCTATGTACATATTTTTTTGTATCTTATTCTGTACGCGTCTGAACTAGTGAATTCAATTAGGGAGGACAAAAAGATCCTATCTATTCAAATTATTTTGAAAGTGTTTCACAGTCTTAGTAATCGCTTTACCTTAAAATGTATGCATACTCAAAACACACTGTATTTTTACAGATTTTAGACAGTCGTAATAAAAATGAAAACGAATGCTATTTCTAATATTTCGCTTAAGAGCATTATCATAATCACCAAGCTAATACAAAGATATGCCCCCCTCGTGATTTTAAAGTAATGCACCCTCATCAATCAAAATAAGGACATATTTCTGAATAATGGTTTGATTTCAAAACCCTGAAATTAACAAAACTGTGTTTAAAAAATCCAGAAGGAAATTATTCAGCCAGCAATGAATAAATTACAAACAACAGGGCGTCCCCCACTTATCCTTTTACGTATATTTGGGTTGTTCAAGAAAAGCGAAGCTCAGTGTTAACGTTAATAAACTACCAGAATAAATGAACAGTATTCGCTTTTTATACATTATTGGAAAATGAAATTTTCAGTGTAATAAATTTTTTTGTAAGGTTTAACCATTGTTTGTCTTAGTCCAGTTCTTAATTCATTTAAACTTATCTACGTAATGGTACCGGTCTTATTAGCAAAGAAATATAGACGCGAGTCAAACAATTAAGAAAACAAAAACAGTGTAGTTTGTATAAAGTATGCTCGAAGTATGTTAATATTTAAGTTATTACCAAACATCAATAGCTTTACACTTTATATAACCATTCCTAAAGATAACTAGTGTTAATTGTAACGGGGACCGTTACAGATGTTCCCCAAACGCTCCCCAACTCCCTTTTTGTGCTTAATTCCTTAAGACTTAAAAAAAAAATATGCTCAGTATTGAAGAATTTCGTAAAAGAATTATAAAAGCTACAATGATATCAACTATGTGTGATTTAACGCATTGCACGCGCACGCACGTGCAATCACATGCAAGATGAACACGACATGTTGTCTAAACCATTATTCTAACTAACAATAAAAAATCATAAAACTATAAATGTTACCGTTTATCAAATATATTGGTCGTTTTGCGTATTTCGCGCACGCACATGCATGCATGCATGTCCTTGCATTCAAATTTGATAAAAGCACAATGTAGGAATCCATTATACCTATTCATATTTTGAATTCCATCCCGTTTTGTTGAGAACTCAGAAAGTTATAGAGTAATATAGACATTTAAAGTTTCAGCTAATCAGATTGCAGCACACGTGCATGCGCATGATTTCATGATAATTCTTATATATCCTTTTGTACATCTTCATAGTGTATGAATATCTTCCAAATTTCAAAGGATTTTGTCAAAAAACAAGAAAGATATTGAGACTTTAGTTTCAGCCAATCAGAGCGAAGCGCACGTGCATGCGCGTGAGATCTTGCTATTTTGACAATGTCATCATATCTATACTACTTATATATCATCACATTATGAGTTTCAAAACATTTCATCAAAAAATAGAAAAGTTACGGCTGTATCTACTATATTGGTCATTTCACGTGTTGCACGTGCACGCTCTCGCAAGCACGTGCGCGCAAAATGACCTTGATTCCGCAAATCTACATAACCTGTCTACTGACCCTAGAAAGGTTTTACCTACATCAGATGAAATTTAACAAGATCACTCCCGGACTAAAAAGTACACAGGAAGAAGAAGAAGAAGAAGAAGAAGAAGAAGAAGAAGAAGAAGAAGAAGAAAAATAATAATAAGAAGAAACAGAGTAAAAACAATATGTTTCCCAACTTCGTTTGGGGAACATAATTAAAGATAGATTTATGGACACATTGTTCATATGTAGAGCATGCTCTTGCGTATCGAATCAACTGAGATGTATAAACTCCATATGCAAGTGATGAAGGTATATTGCTGCATAAGTAAGGGAAGTAGTTATAAAATCGTCACATTTATCATAGAGCTTGGTTGTTAGATTACCATTAACGTTTTTTTATAGTAAAATATCCAAATATGAAACAGATGTGTCAGACTCTGGTATCTTATATCTCAATATCACCAGGATATATCGTATCGACATAAGAATGGAAATTACCATTGGTAATTGACAATACGCCGTCGATATATCTAAATGTCGAGTTGAAGACCGCGGCAAGTGCTTTCTTCTTTTCGTGTATACAAATTGGACAAATTTTGCTTCATATGAATACATAAATAGGTCTGCTTATAACGGAGCGCAATTGGTACCCAACTTATTGAAAACTCCAATAAATTAAAGATTGTTGGAAGACCTGGTCTTCAAACACCACATAGATATCGTCAATCAGAAACTCAAGCATCTTTTTATGTCAATTTCAGAGCACTTGAGTGTACAACCAGAATGTTTTTAAAATAATTTTGCAAATGACCAATGACAAAGTAAGTAAATGTATGATTTCCATTTTCATTGAAAAAGCAGCTGTCGATGATATAAAAAGGCCTGGACTTTAATTTATCGTGGGGAATGATTGTGTATTAAGTAGAAAATTAAGCCGAAAGTTTTTAAGCTGTTGATTTTGGTAAAATCTTGTGATTTCAAATTGTCCAAAGGTTCTTTAAAGTTTATGAGTATCAACATCTGATTTACACTACTTCTTGAATATATTGTTGCACAGTACTCTTGAAGTCTCTCCTTCATTACTATTAATATTACAGTGAGGAGTAAAGAAAGAGGCTTAGTTAAGCATTTACTTGAACCCGCTTTGTATCTTTGTTTGTAAGGATTTTTATGAAGTTTCGGAATGCAATATAGATATGATAGTTAAAAGTCAGCAAATACAGTTTATTATTGAGTCAAATGCTGACTGACGTTTTTATACTAATTGTTAGTCCATTATTTATACACTGAATTGACGACGGATTTTTCCGTTATTTCCCGATCACGACAAGGATCACACGGCGAGTGTGACCGGTCGGCAGGGAATGTTTACTCCTTCGTGGCACCTGGAGGTCAGTGTTTTCTCTGATCCTATTGTATTTGTATTACTTTATGGACTTTTGATCTTGAATACTGTTCGTTATCTCCATATGTTTCATGATGACTTTAAAAGATACGTTTGATATTCTTTTTTCATCAACTTGTTTGACCATTGAAAAGTTATAGTCATCACGTTTACCAAATTAATCAATACAAAATCTTACTTTGTAAAATGCATGCATTTGTAATAAAATATAATGTACCTTATTGAAAAAAATATTACCGTTTGCATATTAATAATGATTGTACATAAACTTAATTGCATATTGCATTTATTCATTACTAGTATGTTTTATATTTCTTTTCTTTATGTAGGAAGACCTTGATTAATGAAATTCCTGTACCCCTTTTTTTAATATTCGTTAAAATTTTAGATCCTACTGTCCTTTTTTAAATGCTTGATAATTGACAAAAAGGGTATTAGTGGTAATACAATTTTAGCTCACCTGAGCCGAAGGCTCAAGTGAGCTTTTCTGATCACATTTTGTCCGTCGTTCGTCTGTCTGTCCGTCTGTAAACTCTTCACATTTTCGACTACTTCTCAAGAACCACATGGATTTAACCAAACTTGGTACAAAGCATCCTTAGGTTAAGAGGAATAAAATTTGTAAAAATGAAGGACCAGGTCCTCTCACAAGGGGAGATAATCAAGAAAAGACAAAAATAGGGTGGGGTCATAAAAAATATTCTTCTTAAGAACCACTGGGCCAGAATAGCTGAAACTTATGTGGAAGCATCCTGGGGTAGTATAGATTCTAAATAGTTTAAATCATGACCCCCGGGGTAGGGCAGGGCCACAATAGGGAATCAAAGATTTACATAGAAATATAAAGGAAAAATCTTCTTAAGAACCACTGGGCAAGAAAAGCTAAACCTTAGGTGGAAGCATCCTGGGGTAGTGTAGATTCTAAATTGTTCAAATCGTGACCCCCCAGGGTTTGGGCGGGGACAATGAAGTTTTCCATAGAAATATATAGGAAAAATCTTTAAAAATCTTCTTCTCAAGAACCAGTTGGACAAAATAGCTGAAACTTAGGTGGAAGCATCCTGGGGTTATGTAGATTTTTAATTGTTCAAATTATATATGACCCGTGGGGTATAATAGGGTCAAAATAGGTATTACAAGGGGGAAATCTGGTTAAGAATCCCATGGTCAAAGCTTCTTAGGTGAGCGATGTGGCCCATGAGCCTTTTGTTCTTTGTATTATGGTAAAGTAAATGACATGAAAGTAATATCGCACCAAAAAAGTGCTGCAGGCTTCTGCATGGTCTCCGTCTCCCATGTGGTACATTGTCAAATGTTCGAATATAGCATGTCACATGTAAGTAAGTAAATGAACATTCTGATAAACAATACCTTGGATGACATGTACATTATTAAGTAAATTAAAAAGATAATTGATTAATATATTAGCTTTCTTAAATATGAATGCTTTCACACAAACTATTTAATTTTCAGCATTATCGTAAATGTTATAATCAAAATTAACCATGCGTTAAATAGCCCGTCAGTTACTTAAAAAGCATCAACATTTTGCTTGGAACAGAAATCTTACCGTATGCGTTCGTTAAAGTAAAAACGGACAAAATCACACAAACAGAAATCATGATGGTTAGGTCCTTATACATTTTAACAGGAAGTTTAACACACACACAAAATAATATATATATATGCAGTACTCTTACATCATATTGTATACGTCATTCACCAGCTGATCTCTAAGATTGCTTTAAGATTACTTATAAGGTATGGTCTTGCCATCATAATTCTGTACGGTATAAGCGGATCCCAGGGGTTTAGGGCACAATACCATATGATTTTCAGTTTTATTGAATTCATACAGCATAATTCTGAATCCCCTTTAGGCAAATAATACGAATTTCAAACCCTTCCTAAGCCGATACCTGTACAAAAAAGAGAAGAGTCATAATTATGCACATTTATTTTACTTCTTTAAACATGGCTTTAAGTTTTATTTTCTTGATTTTTGAAGTTTGATTACATCGTCTGTCCTTGAAATATGTCATATATGCTAAAACCATTCATCTATTCAACAAATACAGATGTAAAAAAAATCCATGAAGTAAGCTGAAAGTATTTTTCTATTCAACACGTGGGTCATTTTCAAAAAATGTCCAAATTCCTGTTATTCAAGCTTTTTTGAAAATTTTGCAATAAAAATCAAATCTTTTTTTACCCGATGAATTTAACAACAATCTATAAGTGTAGAAAAAAATTAAGTGCGATTAAAAATTGACTTGAATGCTGAAAAAAGTCCTTCAACCTGAGTAAAATTAAAGAGAATTGCTTGTGATTTCGCCGGATGTTTGACTTCAACTCTAATTATTGGTGTAGTACATATAATTAAGCAGTGTAAATTGACCTTTATTGTGTTGTACATGTTTAATACTGTCTAAATGCATGCTAAAATGTGATTGAAAAAGAGTAAGAATATGATTTTTTTAATGGTAAGTGTGTGTTATTTTTGCCGTGTCCTTGGAGTAACCAGGACATAAAAGTTATCTGTAACAGTTATCTTTCCTAAAGAAACTCTTCACTATCAGCCTCCCTCTTTTGGTCTTGTTCCCGCCAAAATATCATGAGACACTTAACACAGCTCTTTTATACCATAGGCACAATATGTGGTTGAAGGCAAGTTTGATTGCAAGAGTAATTTATTTTTGAGTCCTAGGAGTTACTTCGATATTGTGATGATAAATTAATTTGCCATTTCTTTGATGCATTGAGCAAGTTTATAACAAAATACCTATTATCTAGGAGCTGTGCTTTATGTTCATAAGTCAGTCATTGCTTTTATACTTCCAATTATTTATATAATAATTCCCTGGTGTTACTGTCCATTTTGTTACTGCAAGAAAAGTTACTCTAAGGACGTATCTAATTACTCCATGGACAATTTACATAGAAAATAATTAAAAAGAATGAAAGCTGGAGTCATATGTTTTATTTTCCTCCATTATTTAAAACTAACCAGTAACTAATTTTGTTTTTAAATGCCAAATTATTTACTAAATGTTTTTACCATTTGAAAATCATATGATTTTGCAGTCTTGGTTATGCAAAGGACAGAATTGGGTAACTCCGCGGACCAATTGAAAAAAAAACCCTTTAAATTGCCAATTTTAATACAACATTTGTGTAAAGTTTATTACAATATAAAATAACAGAAATATTTTTATCAAATTGGCATTTATTTTTCATATTATGTTTCCATGAGCTATAAATTAATTCAATAAATAATTTGAGTAACACAAAGGACAATGTTTGGTAACACAATAGATGTAAAAACGATTAGATATTTATGTTATTAATATACTCTTGCATGTTCTTTTGTTTCTGTAGGAAAATATACAACTTTTACTCCTTTTGAATAAATTGAAATATCAAAATTCATTATGTAATGCAATCATATCCCCTTTTATGCTCTTTAAAGTAACCTATGGTAACACCATAGACAAATTCAGTTACTCAAGGGACACAGCAAGGATTAAAGATAGAAAAATGAAACAAGCGTATCGCATATGGAGTGGTAATTGCGTTCATTGTATTGCAGAAAACAAATGTGGTGGGATATTGCAATTCACTAACAATAAATAATGAAGTGCTAAAAATATATGATGGTTAAAAATGGTAACACAAAGGAAGTTTTAGGTAACACAAGGGAATGTGAAATAAGGCAGAATATGATTTGTTTTCTTTAGTCTGAGGATTCTAGTTATGTTCTCTTGATGAAGATGATGTAAACAAGACACATTAAAAAGTTGCAATGAAGCCAATAAAATCCAAGACGTAAAAGGTAGATTTATATCATTGAATTGAAAATACCTTTATCAGATACGGAACATTTCTTTGCAAATGCATTTAAAGTCCTTTAATCATGTAAACCCTTAGATGAAAAAGTCACAAATTGTTCATAACTGTTCTAAAAGGATTTCAAAAGATGTTTTTAAGGAGACAATGTACCAGTCATTACCCTAGAATACAGTTTTGCATTTAGTTGAGGATGTTCTTCAGATTTGTCCAACTGAAATCCCTCATGACTGTGTTCCACATCCTGTAAAAGTTGGTGCTGAAAGAAGTTTTTAACCTTGGATGTACATAAGCTTTTGGAAAGTGGTGGTGAAGATTATATAGTCGAGGCAGCATTGGACAACAACAAGGCCAGATATGATGGCAGACCACTACATTTCAAGCCACTTTGTTGGATTGTTACCCTGAAGAACTGTCAATGAAAGTTTGGCAAACGATCAGTGGATGCAAGAGCAAAAAGGGCAGAAAAATATCAATGAAAAAAATGAAAAAGAGTACAGATTAAAAAAAGTCAAAGAATTCCTGATAGGAAATTCGACTAAAGAAACTGAAAAGACTGACACCCTGGAAGAGAAAGAATTGGAGTCAATAACGAACATCAGACTACAGATGAAGAGAAATCAGATCCCTTGGAAGAGAGACTGGATAAAGATACAGAAAAAATTGAACTTAAATGTATCCACAGGGTTAGATAGAACCTAAAACCACGTTCCTTTTTAACAGGCCAAAAACTCTAAAAGATAAAAGCTGGTATAGCATTGCTAATGTTTTAATAATATTGTCACCATCATATCTTGTAGATGTGTATTAAGTAGAGAGCTCATTGTGGAAAGAGGCTAGCTGTAGATAAATGAAATGAAAATGTAAAATCCATAAAAAGATTAATGCATTCTATATGTTTGAAATCTGGTCATTTACAAATACATGTACATGTTCTAGTTTCACAATTATTTCTTCATTAAAAATTAGTTCTAGCTGATCTAAGACTCATCTATGTAAACCTTTGGATCTTTTAAAGGTGTCCTTTGTGTTATTTTTTGTCATTGGTGTTACAGCTTCTGCTTGGATATGTAAATACACTAACAAGTACTGATCAATGATTCAAAGTCATTTGATAGTAATTATTTATTATTTGGGGATAACAATTTGATTTCATTTTTCTACTGTAATATATCTTATGATTGGATAGTTATGTCTATGTCGTTACTGTTTTATCCTTGGTGTTACTAGTCAGACTCAAAATGTATAATGAAAGAAATCCCCCGCCAATTTCTTATGTTAAAACCATATACTCTTATATTCACCTCTAGGGTAATTTCCTTACTATCCTTTTCTGAAGGAAGGAGAACAACTTTATTATTTCTTTCTAAGTATTACACAAAATAACCTTAGTGTAACCTTTATGTCCTTTGTGTTATGCAAATATCCTTGGTGTTACCAACACATTTTTCCTATATTTATGTTCTAAATCTTTATACAATTTTATCGAAACTTGCAACACAATTCTGTCGTTTTCTAATACTAAGTTTATTTGCAAAGCAAGTAATTTGTGCTGAGGTAAATGATGTATGCCTTAAGTAAACGTGTAAGATATAGACAAAAGTTACAACACTTACAACTTCCAGCTATACTTTATCTGATAATTTTCTGTTATGAAACTTCAGTTTGATTCCATAGAATAATTTTATCACTATGTTGAGATTGTTATTCTAAAAACCTTAATTTTTTTTTTAAATTATGATTTTACTATGACTTTTAACTAAGTAACACCATGGACATTTATTGTTGGGTCCATGTACATATAATGGTTTTTTTAGTATAAGTTAATAGAATTCTTTGTGCTTTAACATTGTTTATGCATCTATGATGTTTAAATGCTAAAATAAAACTTTAAAAAGTTTAGATCACCACATTTATTTTTGCAAAATACTGGTGGTGGAATTTGGACAAATTTTGAAAATGACTCATGTACATATGACTTCTTAAGGTAACTCCACCCTCCTATAATGTCATAGGTTTTAGCAAAAACTGTTATTAAATTAAATTCATACCGAATAGAACAAAATATTTAGGAAGAATGATTTTCCGTAAGTGAAATGATAAATATTGTTAAGTAAAAGAGTTTTTAAAAATGCATATTTTCTTTATTCAATCAATTATTCAATCTTTAAAACATGTTGACGTGGGCAATAACTCCTGCTCAGGTAGATTCATTCAGGCATTTTCTTTATTGTACTTCTAATATAAAATAGTTTTCCTGATATTCACAATTCAAAAGTATCTTATAAGTAGCAAGTATATAGGAACTTTCAGAATCAGTTTTTACATACAACTGTAATATTTATGATTTACAAAAAATGTACAATTTTTTTATGTTGACATATATGCTTCTGTTTATTTACGTCTCCCATCTTAAATAATATGGCGACCTATACATTTTTGGCAATAATTGGTAAATTTAAACTTTATTGAATGAAAATAAAGTCAGTTTTTGTACTTGAAACCATTTAATTTGTGAGGGTAAAAAGACCTTAATATACAATAGACATGATCTAAAGCAAGCCAGTCGAAGACATCCGTTTAACTGCTATGGTCTGCTTATTCAATGGCTGAATAGTTTAACATTTGTTTATATATCTAGATTGCGTATATCATGAAGATATCATGGATACCACAGTGATGCTATTTTGAGGTATGAAGTTACGAATGTATAAAAGAAGTCGTTACAAGAAGCATAACTTCTTGCTACCGATTAGAAAAATATTTACAGAATAGTAATTTGATTTGCCCAAAGTATCATTGTGTTACTAACGTGTAATTACAATGTAAATATCAGTTAAATATCTACCAGTGGGCTTTTAATAAGATACCACAAAGTCTTCCATATCTTTTCCATATTTAGATATTTTACTAAATGGTAACCAAACCAGTCTTTATGATAAACGTGATTTCTACTTTTCTACGAAAGCCCAGAAGGCTCATTCGAGATTCGAGTTTCCAAATACGAGATTCGAAATTCGAGATTCAAAATTCGAGTTTCGAGATTCAAGATCCAAACGAACCAATCAAAAGCGGGTTCAAGATTTGATTACTTCCCTTTATTATGTTTTTACTATCAAGAAATAGTTCAATATAATTATATCAAATGGTTCATTTGATTAAATTACGATGCAAGAAAAAGTGTTATATATATTAGAAGGAAAGTTAAATAATTAATGGAATTTTGATCAGCAAAAAATATTTTAATTTATATTATAGATTCTTAAATATTAACAGCCTGTCTCCGAGAAAAGCATGCAAAATAGTCCGAAAGCAGGTTTCTCCGATTGCCTTCAAATTTTAAGAGTCAAATCTACTATGCATAAAATGAAATCAGACAAATTTCTATTTAGCTACTCCAACCCACATATGTTTTATGGACTGTTACTAAAAATAGCTCTTATGCAACAAAAATTGAGGTAATTTTTTTAACATTTTAGACATATTTTGAGAAGAAAAATAATTGCAACTTTAAAAATTATTCAAATATTTTGTTTTGTTGTAAAATAATAAAGATTAGTTCTTTTTAAATGCATAGTCAGAATGATTGACATTCATTTTGTTTTAGTGCAAATAGGTCATGAAATTGGCAATATTCCAAAATTTGAAAAAAGTTACAATTTTTAGTGGAATTGAAACTATTCTAGTTGAAAGGGGGGATGTTTTAATCCAGTAAATTTTATTGCTTATTGTTAATAATACCTATGTTAACAAAATATGAAAAAATTACCCTTGGCCAATGTACACTTTAGAAAATATTGAAAGTCAAAGTTTGTGAAATTTTCACATAAAAAAATTTCAAGGATACAGTTAGCGCTACTCAAAAAATAGCTCAAAACATGTCCAAGACTAAAAAAATTATTTTCTAGAGTTCTTCCTATCTGTATTACAGAATTTAAACAAACATAGCTCTCAATTTAATATTTAATGACTTTAAATTTTAAAAAATACATGGAAAAAGAGGCCGGGGGGGGGGGGGGGGGACTGGCTATGAATTCTTTATAAACCTCTAAATGGATAAACTTAAGTATAAACCTTTATTATACAATTATAACCTTTTGATGAGGTCAATCCCTCGATATATAAACCTTAGAGAAAGTATATCGACCGAGCACGAAGTGCGAGGTCGATATGCTTTCTCTAAGGTCTATATATCGAGGGATTGTACCGAATCAAAAGGCTACAATTGTTTTATTATTTTTCATCAGTTAATAAGAAAAGTCTTAAAATCCTTCTTTATAATATTCAGAGCCTTCTCATACAAGGCATTGTTATGTCATTGCATTATGATGTCACAGTAATGAAAACCAGCTGCAGTACCTGTTTTTAGAAACATCCAGTCTATAAAGACTATTGTGACGTCAGCACTATTGTTGCTTCACAGAAGAACGTTTCCAATTTTAGAAACAGCAGGTTTATAAATTTTTAAAATAGAAACATCCAGTCTGTAACACTTTTTATACTTGATCATGTGATCCAGTTTGAGCCAATCAGATAGTTGGAATAGTAAAGAAAAATAATAACACTTTTTATACTTGATCATATGATCCAGTTTGAGCCAATCAGATAGTTGGAACAATAAAGAAAATAATAATTACATTTAATGCATGTATACATACTTGGTCAATATTTACACAAGTGAACCAAGTGAACAGATTATTCATCATACTAGTCATTTGATCAACATATTCATTTGAGTGTTAAAGTACAAACAATTTCTGCAATTTTTCAACATCATCGATACAAACATTGAGATATTTCAGACAAGTTCTTTTTACTGGGGGAAGGTGAAATGACTTGAAAATTTTTTTTTGATGAATGTGATGTTCTTACTTGATCTTGAATTTGTAAAATAAGTGAGATTTCCAACTGCCAAATATTTTTCAAATTTCAAAATTGAACATTCTTTTTGATGTGATGAATATTAACAGGAGTTACATGAATTGATGATTACTACTCTCTTTGCTTGCTGTAGTGTTTTGACAACTTTCACAACTGGTATCATCTTTCACTTGATCAGTCAGATCATGGTTTTATTGAAATGAGTTTTCAGTTCTGCTCCATTGTTCCTGCTTTCTTGGAAAAACTGCATAACCTATGAAACAAAATGCACCATAAAATGAAAAGAAATATGTCCTCCTTCTTTGAGTATATATCAGTAAAATATGACGACATAAAGAATAATTTTTTGTACATGCATAAGTAACTGCTAAATGGAGGAAAAGTGAAGTTGGATCATTGGAAAGGACTAAGTAAGAAAATAATGACAAAATTATTGCTGTCATCAACACTGATTTTAAGAATATTACATTTATAATTAAAACAAGAGGCCCATGGGCCACATCGCTCATCTGAGCACCGTGGCTAGCATAAAAGCAGAAATTAATTTATTATTGAAAAGTTTAAACCCAAAAGTAGTCCCAATCATTCCTTAAAGGCGAGAGGTAATTGCACAAACTTGAATCAACACTACCCGAGAATGCTTCCATATAAATACATGTATGACCAATCATGGCTTTGCGATTCTTAAAAAGATTCTTAAAGAATTGTCCTATATATTTCTATGTAAAACTTTGGTCGGCCATTGTGGCCCTGTCCTATCCCCTGGGGTCATGATTTGAAAAAAAATTTGAATCTACACTACCTGAGGATGCTTCCATCTAAATATGATTATTCATGGCTTTGTTATTCTTGAGAAGAAGAATTTTAAAAAACTTTTCCTATACATTTCTATGTAAAACTTTGGTCGGTCATTGTGGCCCCGTTTTACGGTAAATCATTCACATTTACACTTAGACTTGATCTGTAGATAATTAAATTAGTGTGATCAAGAGAATAGCAAATATGTACCAAACAAAGTAAGAAATCACTGGCTTTATCATTGTGACAAAACTGAGTCATTGAACATGCTGAATAGCTCTATTAAAGAGCATTTGACTATTATAATAATTGTTTTTTTTTCATATAAGACTTCTAAAATATTTTTTTCAGATAACAATTCTTACCATTTACATCTGGATCAGGACACTTGTCTTTTAATGTATTGGGGTCCAAAAAAATCCTCTGCATGTTGACAAATGTTGCTACAAGAAGTGAAAGTTAATAGTAAATTATTTATAACTTTACCCAGGTTTGTTATACAATTTGAATAATTTGGACCTCTCCAACATATGGTATACTAATTAAATATCATATTGTGCATGCTTAAATGTTCTGTATAAACTTTCTGTTATGAGTTCATATTATCATGACCCATTACCTTTCTAAAATATCAATTTTGCAAAAATTGTTAAAGTAAATATGATAGAAAAATATGTGTGATAATATTTGGATAAAAAAAACTTTCCTTCTTTGAATACCTGGTACTTTTACATATACTCTTTAGTTTAGACTTATTTTGAGTAGCAAACTATTTCACTACTTGCACAATACCACAATTCAAAAGCATAAATTACATGTATGCGAATCAAAGCATATGTGCAGTTGAATGTTGAATATATCTTAATTAGAGAAGTTATAATTTTTACTCCATCTCTTAACAACTGTTTGAACTTTCTTAATTTCTTTACAAAAGTTTACATGTATGACATATCAAACGATAAACATGACTGTTCCTAGTTAGAACATTTTCATTCAATATATAAATTTCTATTACAAATTCTTTATAGGTCACTGTAGATATTGAAATAAATAGGAGCTGCAACTTGGATGTCCAATTTTTTTATTGCAGAATTATTTCAAGACCAGAGAAAAAATATTTATAATCTTCTGTTGTTCATATTTGCCGCATGGCGATGAAAAAACTTTTTCATAACCTATGATTGAAGCAAGATTGCATTATCGTTGTCCTGTACAATATTGATTTCTAAATAATTTTAATTTGCTTGTACAGAAGTCTTTCTTCTAAAACACTTTAATACTTCATTTTAGTCTTGCTGAGCATACAGGTTTTAATTTAAATACAAATCTAACATTATAACACATTATAAAATTTTTATGGCAAAATAAATTTCTTAAAAATGCAGCTCATATTACTTGAAGTAGAGATAAGATATTTGGCCTACCTGTCAGCATGGTCAGATCCTTCAGTTTCTCGTCAACTTCAAGGTAGCAGAAGTTTGTTATTCTTCTTCGCCATTTTAACCATTAACCCCCCCCCCCCCACGTTATCCGTATGTCTTGGGTAGATTCATAACTTAAAATATACCACTGTATACATGGTCAACATGGTCATGAGAAAAAATCCACATTTCACAATCAATCATCCAGTCGGTCCATAACTTTTTCCCATACAACCTGATACTATAGCATCTCGGTCGGAGCTTTAAAGAAGTGCAAACAGTGTGATGGATCCTTAATACAGTCATACAAATAAAATACTTGACATACACGGCACGAAATGTATAAAAAATCTCTGAAGTTGCATTGTCCTCTTGGCGATCCTGACACATTGGAATGTCATTTCCGCCTTTTTCACTTGAAGACTTCCACAACGGGAGATAACTCTTATGCACACTTACTCATTCTTGTCATCTTATTTTCTTTGATCATTTTTGGAGTAATTTTAAGTTTTATCAACTTATAAATTTTTACAGCCTTTCTAAATATAAATTCAGACTAAAATATGTTTATTGGTCATCAAATGAATCCATATTAATAGTATTTGATTAATTCTGTGGTACAAAATGAGAGCTTTGCTAACATGCTTAGGTCATCATTTCAACAATTTATAAAATATATCTGCACTAAATAGCCAAGGGTGAATTTTTTATATTTGATAGAACATAAATCAATTATTATAAAAAACTTTATTTGATCAAATTATTTTATCCCCCACCGCTGTACCATTGTACTAAATATCCATAATAATTCTGAATTTCCAAATTTCGCCTAAGATATGGCTTCAGTATAGACTGCAGATAGTTGTAATCATTATGGAAAATAGGTATTTGTAATTTTTGACATATATGTATTTATGAAATAATAAAATACTGTATCTAAAATAATTATGCAGTGACTTTATCAGGCCTCAAACTTTCCTATTTTTACCTTCTATATAATGCCAATTATTGCTAAATATAGAAATTGGGTTGTTACTAAAAATAGATGCATGTGACACACTTTTACAATTTATTTTTTATATCCTAATACAACCTAGATCTTAAAAATATATGACAAGATGAAAAGCTCTATACACCCTTTTGGACATTTTTTCAGATTTTGCATGTTTTTCTCAGAGACAGGCTGTTAAATAGATTTCATATATCAGGAGTATATACATTTTTGAATTGTCTACTAAGCGTCATTTTTATGAATTTCTTCTGTTAGGAAAACTACAGGTATTTGTGGGGGGGACCCCCCCCCCCCCCCCCCGCACACTCTCTTAATATTCAACCCAAGGGCTTATTGGAAATTTTTTTCACAAGATATATTTATTTAACTTATTCATCATGTATACAATAACAAAAAATGTAAAATCCCCAGAATAATCGCTCAACATCCCCCCAAATACCCACAATACATTATAAGAGAAAGATATGCCACTCTAGTCTGTTTACGTTGTACCCCCTCTGGTATTAAATGCATTTATTTTGTTTTAACTTTAAAAAGTTAAAACAAAATAAATGCATTTAAGAGGCAGTCCACCGAAAAACCAGGCAGTATTATACTGATAGGCGGCACATTGAATGTGAGGAATATTTGATATTTTATTGAAAACAACATCAATGTAGTCCAAATGGAATAATGTAATCGAAGATTTGTTTGAAAATTGCCTATTTTGTAAAATATCCTTTTCTTTCATTTAAAAATGTCGATTCACACTGCAGGCGCAGATTCAGAAATTTTTCAAAGAGGGGGGGGGGGGTGAAGTATTTTTCAAAAGCGGGGGTTGAAGGCGAAAACAGTTAAAACGTACGTTGTACACATACATATAGTTAAATAACTCAATAGAATATCGATACAGGGTGGAGTATGGTTTTTGAAAGTGGGACGTTGATCAATCTGGGAAAAAGTACTTGTATACATTACCAGAAAGTTTTTGAAAAAGAAAGGGAAATAAATCTCCGAACCTGAAAATCCTATTTTGTAAAGGGAGGGTTTTTATTTTGTTTTTACAACCGAATTTCTTTATATAATACAACATTAGCCTTTCACCTTACATTTCCTATAGTAAAAACACAACGAAAAAATTGGAACTTTCTTATTTCTCTTTCTCTTAAATTGCAAATCCAAAGGGGGGGGGGTTGCAACCCCCGTAACCCCCCCCTCTGGATCCGCCACTGCACTGTCTCTAAATATACAATGTATTTCTGTCTTAGTCCATGCTATCAGACTGACTCTGCATCACGTAATAATCCCACATTTTCTCCGTAAACAGCATTCTTTCTTGTAAAGTGGAGTAGTAAATTGTGTGTTTTTTTTTTTTTTTTTTTTTTTTTTTTTTGTTGTTTTTTTTTTTTTTTTTTTGGTTGAGCGATTATTCTGGGGGTTTTACGCCAGCAATTTTTTCGTATTGTAAGGTTACACATAACAGAGAAATAAGCCCTGGGGTTCAATATCAAGGGGATGGGGGTGGGGGAGGGTCTTGTCCACACGTACCTGTGTTTTTCTAAAAATTAAGACAAGAAACATAAATTATATTGACGCAAGCGTAAAAAATCATCCGCAAACCAATTAATTGTTCCTTTTATGGTCCCTCTAGATCCGCCACTACATTTCTTTATCGGCCGCAGCAGCGGCCGATCTATTTGTGGTTGTGTTAGAAAGTGCACATGGGGAAATGAGATATTATTATTTTATTAGATCAGAAAAATAATTCTCAAATGATAACATGTATAAAATCATGAGTAAAATATTTTAAAAACTTGCTTTAAATTAAGTTTTAATCGTTGTTATTTTGTTTCAATTTCATTATCATTTGACATCAGATAATTGATAATTTATGGTCACATAAAAAGATTTTACAATAGGTACTCCCCATCCAGGGAGTGTGTAAGATACGAAAGGAAATCGTTATGATTTTCCGGATAAAAATAACGTGCACGTGGTAAAAGTGCATGTTGAATAAAAAATTGAAAAGTTTCTCTACTAGTAAAAATTTGTTTGAAAATCCAACAGCTGTGAATGACACAAAGATTATTTTTATACATTTTGCACCCGCACCATGCAGCATAGCCATCATATAGGCATTATCACGTGACAAATGACCAGGATATCAACACGTGGTATATCTTGAAAGGCATACATCTTCATTTTGATGACAATAAAACTTCTCATATCATAGGCGTCGGAACCGGAGTAGGGGGGGGGGGGGTTAGCGCGCACACATTTTTTGCAAAGATATACATTATACCTAGGCTTTGAAAATGGGCTTCACCATTTTTTGTTGGTTAAGCCCCCCCCCCCCACTTTCAATTAGCCCACCCCAACCCAACCCACTTTCGATTTGCTTCCGATGCCCATGCATATTCATCATAGACTTTTTTACATCGATAAATCCTTTGGATGAGTAAATGCACTATTTCTAGTTCAAAATATATATTTTATTCATTGAATTGGACAGAACAGCAGGTCAATCTAATTAAAATTAGATCTTTGATCCGCTCCAGTAGCGATCAAACTGGAGCGGATCAAAGATCTAATTTTAATTAGATTGAACAGCAGGTATGATACCCAAATTTCTATCAATTTTTAAAAAAATATTTATCTATTTATTTTGAAGACGGCCTGAAATAAAAATGATGACTATTTCAGCTTTGAATATCCTGTTGTTTTCTTGCATGAATGCTTTGAATTGTGAAATTACTTTCTTGACATCTTAAATATGTTAGCGGCCGATTTGATGCTTTGCATCAATTAACTTGTCTCTTTGAGTTGTAGCGGGAAAATTCTTGGCACATTGTAAAACGTGCATTATCCTCGTCTGCTAAGGGCCAAATCTTGTAATATTCTGTAGCCTGCTAAGTCTTTTAATGAATTAACATTTAAACATATGTTTCAAAATGTTTATATATGTACATATGTACACGTCATTTTAAAATAAATACGTACAACAAATCCCGTTTGAATGGAGAAAGTAAAATTGCGTAATATACATAACGCGGTCTTTGCTTTAGACTACGCCCAACACATGTCCTAATTTTCTCCGCACCTCAAACATGTCTAAGTTCATAAATAGGATTGGATGAAATATTTACCTCATTCTTCATAAGAATTTTTAATTTTATGTTTATGATGCGTTCTTCTTTAACCTTTAGACGCTCTTTTTAATATACTATTATATTAATGTTAAATATTTTTATTTAAATTGTTTTCACACCGCAAAAACGCACAGCGACTTCGAACTTTCATATCATAGAGCCGACCGCCTCCTGGCCGGTAATTAGTTGACGATACAAAAATATAATACTTCTGATATATGTAATCTATTTAATATTTAAGAATCTATAATATAAATTGATATATTTTTTGCTGATCAAAAATCCATTAATTATTTAAATTTAGGTCTAATATATATAACACTTTTTCTTGCATTGTAATTTAATCAAATGACCCATTTGATATAATTATATTGAATTATTTCTTGATAGTAAGAACATAATAAAGGGGAGTAATCAAATGTTGAACTCGCTTTTGATTGGTTCGTTTGGATATTGAATCTCGAAACTCGAATTTTGAATCTCGAATTTCGAATTTTGAATCTCGAATTTCGAATCTCGTATTTGGAAACTCGAATCTCGAATGAGCCTTCTGGGCTTTCGTACTTTTCAGCTGTCAACTTCTATTACTTATGTTGCAACATAAACTTATCATCTGCCTATTTACGCAAGAGCATGCTAACTATTTCCAGAACGAAGCAAACAACAGCGAAGCAGGATAATGAAACAAAGATATCAACAGTCTCGTTTAAAGTCATCATAATACAAGTTCTATGGCCGATACAGTGACCTCACCAAATACAATCTATCATTAAGTCGAATGCGAACTGACGTTTTTCATACTAATTTTTAACATAGACATGGATTTCCTATTATTTGAAAAAAAAATTGATCGTGATAAGGAGCAGACGGCGGAGCTAACCGGTTGGCAGGGGAGTTCATTCCTCCATGGCATCTAATCCTAACTCTGGTTGTTTTAAAAATTTAGGTCCGTGTATGCTCTCCTCCTAATTTGTATTCTTAATTTGAATGGACTTACTCGTATAAAGTTGAATGCTGTTTGTTATTTCAATATTTCGCTGTATTGAAATGCAAATCACTTATCATGCTTATGGGAGCCATAACGATTTAAAAAAGAATATACATTTTGTACTTTCGATCAATTTTAAGAGGAGCAGCACACAGAGTACTTGAACAAAAGTACCCTTATGCCGTTCTTGTGAGCATGTACAATCTCTGATCAAGTTTGTTATGTATGTATTATTATTCAAGGGGCGCATTGGAAAGTGCAGAGGTTAAAGAATCATGTGAATCTTCTGAGTTTTATCCAAATCAAGGAAGGTAAATTGTCAAGGGAGTTTAAAATACTCTCCAAATCAGTCCCTTCTGTTTTCATGTGAACAGCAGTTAAAACTAGTAGTTGTTTACCTCTTCAACTGCAAGCTGTTGAACAATCAAACATTACATTAAATATTAATAAATAACAAATGATAACGTCTCTGTTATTTTTTACTACTTGGTAACGTTAGTATATACATGATTCACATTTTTTAAGTTACACTTTTACATATTTCTCTCTTAATTTTTTATATTAATTTAAATATATCAGAGATGAACTGGTGTTCTCTTCTTCACTGCAAAGACAAAAAAACAAGTCACCTTTCATTAATTAGTTAAAGAAGAAGCAAGCATGAGAGAGAGAGAGAGAGAGAGAGAGAGAGAGAGAGAGAGAGAGATTAATTTAAACGTATCCTTTGTTCAAAGTAACGTAGAAGTTTTTAATTTTAAAATTTACTCGATGATTTATGAAGATAGTTTACCATATGTAAACTAAAATATGTCTATTAACTTACACTAATTTAGCTAGGTTCAATGTGCTTGTTACATAAAACATACTTAAGTCTGAGAACGCTCTCAAATCTGAGAATTTTCTCAAATCCAAAATTCTCAGACTCAGCGGCCGCCATAAAAAAATTGAGAAAAATAGAAATTCTAAACTCTTTTATCCTCAAATTCTCAGCTGAGTAATTCTCAAGAGTTCAGTTGAGATTTTTTTTGAAAATTTTCAAAAGTTTTATGACGGCGGACCCTGGTGTACTGTTTTTATCTAGTCTTAAGTGACCGGTCCGGTCTTATAATAAACTGAAACTTTTTATTTCTTCTTTATAAAAACTATATATAGATCTGCATGGTCTCAGATAAAAGTCAAAATCAAATGATTGATAAGAACAACCGTAATATAATATACTTCAGAAATCAATTAATGTTTTCGTCCCTTCACCACGGAGTTGGAGGTTACATAAATGTAGTAAGAACAAATCGTAAAAAAATACTTACATTGATCCACAACAAAACTTTCGTTTCAGCCACTTTCTGAATTTTTTCATTCTCTGAAAGTAAGAAGAGGTTTTCAAGCAAGAGATACTTCCAATACAAGCCACAGGTGTTTTTGGTATAATAATGCTATTTTGTATACTAAAATCGACTTTAAAATATGTCTGTATATATTATAATCAAAGGATGATTTTGCGTTTAATGAGCCTTAATAGTCATAAAAAATACCCCTAATTTCTTTGATTTTTTCTTTTCTTCTTTTGGACTCTTTTCTTCTTTCATCTTCATCTCCTGAAATTTAAGAAACCCCAAAACTATTACACCTGCCAGAATTGTTTTTCTCCAGGGTTTTGACTTGATCTCCTTAGTTTGTAAAGTACCTTAGTTTGTAAAAGTAAAGGAGCCTAAAGAACTTAAGAAATATGCTTTTTGTTTTATAATAAAACACCAAGTTTGTTTGAAATTGGTCAAGTGATTCCAAAAAAGCGGACATTTTAGTTCAAAGAAATATCACGTGACAGATAAATAGAGCAAGATTTCATTGAATAAATATCTGAGGTACCGATATTTAATTTCAATCCTTTATCCAGATTTCGCATTGAAAAGCCACCTTTTCCATTCAAGAGAACTGTTGAATGGTTAGCTCTTTCTAGAGTTCAGAGAAATACCCAGAGAGAGTGCAGACCTGAGGCTGTTCAACAGAGCGAGCGCTCGCAAACCTATCTGTTTGAGTTATAGGGAATTTTGGCGAGCGCTCGCGAAAGTTCGTTCTGTTGAACAGGCCTCTGTTTAGCTCTTCGCATATATAGCTTATCAGAGAAACATGCACATAGAGAGAGGGAGAGATACAAAGAGTGAGACTTTTAATAGTCGGCTGTTTGTCGAGTTTACCAGAAAGAAAAAAAAACACACAGAGGGGTAGACCCTAAATGTAATTTAGCACTATAGCGCCATTGACATACCTCCGTGTTTTTCTTCAACTTTTTAAATCTTTGGACAACAACACGCTTTCTGACCAAAGCTTGGATGTGGATAACTGCTTGCCTCTGTCTATTGTAGTTTAGCTGCTGACGATGCATTCTATAGTGGGCTTGGATTTTGATGGCTGCGTCCTTGGCAATTAAGAATTCCTTTCTAACTTTTGCTGCACGAAATTTTCTCTGAAGTCCAATCACGGTATGTTTCTGTTTTCCATATCTGCTCTGGCAGAGGATCTTTCTGGTACCTGACTGTAATTTGACAATGGCCGCTTTCTGTTTTCTGTATTCTTGGCGAATCAAGTAACCCCTAAACCAAGCTTGAATTGTAATGACAGCTACTCTAAGAACGAAGTAGTTTTTCTGTGCCAGTTTCATTTCAACGTACGCTCTCTATTGTGTTTGTATAATAAACACCGACTTCTTGATTTTAATGTACCTCTTCTGGACTAGACAATGTCGTATGAAAGATTGAAGTTTGATGGCAGATGTTTTCATTTCTTTGAATTTTTGTGTGGCCTGACACTTTCTGTGAGCTGCTTGAATTATAATCGCTGCTGCTGTCTTGAAAAAAAGATTTTGTTGAAATAAATCAGAAAAAAATCGTTGTGAAATATTTTTTTTCTCGTTTAGTTTTTTCTATATTCGATCTATACAATGAATATAATACATGTATTATGTCTACAGATATTGTGTTTTATTTTACTTCAGACTTAATGGATACATGATGTTTACAGTATATAATCCAGTTTAACATTTGACGATGTGTATAATTCATTGAGAAGACGAATTCCCTTTTCATGCAGTTTATAAATTACTATAAAATATTGCTTCACTAAATACTCCTAAGAATTAAGGTACCTGTGTCTCTTTGTCAAAAAAATACCAAGACTCTGACATCAAGGATACAAATGGGGATGGTTCCTCCTGAAAAAAAGGAATATTCTATACAAAGGACAACAGGCACTGACTTTGCGTATTCGGGGCACATTTGCCTGACCCATGAGATGCTAAAGAAATTACTCTGCTTTCAAAATTTATAACATGCAATTTGATCTACACCCCAACTTACAGAAAGAAAAGGAATTTTAAGATGCCAGAATGCAGTTTTAAAAACTATAAGTGTTTCCTACAATCTGAGTAATCAGGTACTTATTTTCACGGAGGTTTAACATTGATGTTCATTTTTTTAAATGTAGGTCAAACGTCAAGGTCATAGGGTCAACAATAACAGTTTATTTGGAAAGGTCTTGTTACGGGTAAAAAACTGTGAAATATAAAAACGCTCTCTTTTTCTCTTTCTTATCCCGTCAATTCATACTCACCATCAGAGCTTGGACGATCTTACGTCTAAGCTCATCTCTGATCTTCCTATGTTTTCTCCTTTCTTCAGATTCGAAACGAACAAAGCCCTGCTATTTAAAACAAGATTTAATGTACATAGTATAATTAATGTTGTAATTAGCTCAATACGAGAAACAAACATCCTTGATATGTTTTGGGGGAGGGGGAACGTGTTAAACTCATCTGCCTTTTTAATTAAGGGGAAATAATAGTACAGAATATTTGACAATTCTAGGCATTTTTCAAAAATATATTTTATTCTCAACAAATAGCACACCAGAGGAGATGAAACTTATGTGAAAATTGCTTTACATACACTGTAGTATAGATACATATTTATTCAAATCATGACCCCTGGGGAGGGCGGGAGCACAACGGGGGATCAAAATAATGCAAGGAATATAAAGGAATTATTAAAACATCCCGTTAAGAACAGTAAAGTCATAATGTCATATCAATTAATTCAGAATCATGCATTCTAAGAAAGTATAATTTCAAATTTGTTCAAAACATCATGCTGTAAGTTGGGTCCACAATAGGGGATCAAAGTTATGCACATAAATTTAAGTACAGGAAATGACTTTAGAAACTCTTTGCAGTAAATTCATAAAATAATAGAAAATTAAAGTTTGTTCAAATCATGACCTCATTGGTTGTAGGTTCGGACCTGTGTTGGGATCGCTTATATAAAATTTAACCTGTCAATAATGTACCAATTACTGCTTTTCTCTGGCCATTTGTGCTCATGTAAGCGATGAAGCCCCTGGGTCTCTTGCTTAATTTTTTTCAACATATTTCCTTTACCTAAAAATTAATCGTTTATTTATCTTGTTAAGAATTACTATAGTACGAGGGTTGTTCAATAAACAATGTCCTGAACTGTATGACTTACAATACAGATATCATATGATATTAAACTTGAACTTCTCTCATTATTGAATCTTTACTAAATTTATAACAGTTTATGTGACCACTTTTCATCACATAGTTTCATCGTGAGAAGCTGGGAAACAAGGGCTTTTCGAGACACTGCATTATAAATAAATAGTAAGGAATCAGTAAACTAGAGTGAAAATAAAGGCTACATTAAAGCTGCTATAAAACTTGTTAAAAATCCCAAAGAAATATTCACTGAAATATGTGTCATTTACAGCAACCAATGCCTGTTTTATAGACAAATGAGCAGGTGGATTTCAATGATAAAAAAAATATATAATGGACATCAAAAATGGGTACCCTCCTTGCCAACAAAAATTATAACAACATATGTATTGTTTGCCAAATTTCAACAAATAATATTTGATAATGTAAGACACATAGCAAATTTGGTAGACATCATATCGGGAGTAGTTTAGACTGTTTTTAAGAAACGTTTGACAGTAAAAAAGCTTGGTACTCAAAGGTCACCCTATATTTTGAAAAATGAGTGAAAAAGACAGCGTGTACGAAAGTCTTAACAATCATTTTAAAATATCAGTAATTGTAGTTATCCACGTTTGTTTTATATTCAAACAGATATTGGAACATGAATCTATTGCTTAAAACCATCAAAACAAAATTTACCATAAGATATACATGTACTTGATAAAAACGGCGAAGGTCTGACAAAAGCAAAGGTATGCAAGAGCACATAGACAGATTTATATGCAATTTTCTTAAATATTAGTGGTATTGTTGTTCAAATTCGTATTCGGGGAGACAGTTTAATATCTGGAGGAGTCTGGAAAGCATTTTTTTTGCAAAAAGATCGAAAGGTTTATTAGAGGAAGGACGCAGAATCAGGAATTCACTACATTGAATATCTTCATGACAGCGTCCAAACCCGCTAATGATAGGATGATACCTAAGGGTAAAAGGGTTTTCGGGATAAACAGAAAGTTAATGTTTTTTCACATTAAAAATATTTGCCATATCTTTGACCTTTTGACTTGTTTCTATTTCCAAACTTGAAAAAAACAACTTTTTGAAGGAAAAAACAAGTCCAGGATATCATTGGATCTGCCATTTTCCAGTATACTAAGGGTCATACCAAAAAATGAGTTCTAAAAACAATCAGAAATTGGATAAAAATGTTACAGACATGTGTTTGAATTAAAAGAGATTAATAAGTAAAAACATAAAGACTCATTGAAAAGCATCGTTTGCTTCTTTCTGAGCACCGAGGACATTATTTATTGAACATCCCTCGTATGTCGCCACTCGCCAATAAAAACTTGATCGATCTACGGTGATAGTGCTTGCTGCCAAATATTTTCATGTGCAAAAACACTAGAGTGGTAATGTTGCTCCTAAGCGTTGAATTTCGAGTGAGGAACATGTAGTTTACGACTCATATCACAAGATACCGTTAATAAACAAGAGGCCCAGGGGCCACATCGCTCACCTGAGCACATCGGCTAGGAAAAAATCACAGATTAGGTCAGAACTGAAAAGTTTACTGAGGGGGGGGGGGGGGGGGGGAAGGGGGGGTCCTACCCTCCCTACCCCAAAAGACCATGATTTGAACAAATTTAAATCTTCAATACATGAGGATGCTTTCATGTCAATATGACTAAACATAGATTTTCTGTTCTTGGGATCTTTCCTTTATGTAAATGAGTATGTAAAACTTTGATCGACCTTTGTGGCCCCACCCTATCTCTGGGGGAGGTGTTATGATTTGAACAAACTAAAATCTACACTAAGGAGTATGATTCCATATAGATATCACTAATCATGGCTTTGAAGTACTTGAGAAGAAGATTTAAAAAGATTTACCTATATATTACTATGTAAAACTTTAAGCGGCCATTGTGGCCCCACCCTAACCGCAGGGGTCATGATTTGAACAAACTTGAATCTACACTACCTGAGGATGATTCCAAATGAGTTTCATCTTTCCTGGCCCAGTGGTTCTTGAGAAGAAGATTTTTAAAGATTTTTCCTATATACATGTACTCTTATGCAAAACTTTGATTGGCCATTGTGGTCCCGCCCTACCCCCCGGGGGTCATGATTTAAACTTGAATCTATACTACCTGAGGATGATTACACATGAGTTTCATCTTTCTTGGCCCAATATTTCTTGAGAAGAAGATTTTTAAAGATTTTTCCTATATACTCATGTAAAACTTTGATTGGCCATTGTGGCCCCACCCTACCCCCGGGGGTCATGATTTGAACAAATTTGAATCTACACTACCTGTGGATGATTCCACATGGGTTTCATCTTTCCTGGTCCAGTGGTTCTTGAGAAGAAGGTTTTTAAAGATTTTTCCTATATACTCTTATGTAAAACTTTGATCGGCCATTGTGGCCCCGCCCTAACCCCAGGGGTCATGATTTGAACAAAATTGAATCTACACTACCTGTGGATGATTCCATATGAGTTTCTTCTTTCCTGGCCCAGTGGTTCTTGAGAAGATTTTTTAAAAATGCCACTAATTTTTCACTAATTCATTATTATCTAGCCTTGGAATAGAGCGTGGCTCTTTGTAGCAAGTTTGGTTGAAATTGGTCCAGTGGTTCTTGAGAAGAAGATGAAAATGTGAAAAGTTTACGACGACAACGACGACAACAACGACAGACAACGGACAAATTTTGATCAGAAAAGCTCACTTGAGCCTTCGGCTCAGGTGAGCTAATAATAAGTATGTCACATTGATGCAAGAAATTGAATTGTCCCTTCGAAAAAGTACTGTATAGGGAAATTTTCGCCCCCGATTTATTTCGCCCTTGTCACAAGTGGGCGAATCTAAAACGGGGTGAAATCAAAAAACAGATTATAATTTCTCAAACAAAACTGTAACTGGGCGAATTTAAAACGGGGCAAAATTGTTATCAAGTGTAAACGGGCGAAACTAACACGTGACGAATAAACCCTTATACAGTATTTCTTACAGCCGAAACAGATTTACAAATTGCATGGGTAAATAGGCAGGCTGTTGTTTTCTTGGGACAACCGCTCGTCAACACGTTAACTCAAGAGTCCTGGTATTGCGAGGATTGATTGTACATGTATGTTGAATTACGTCCCATTTGAGAATCTTTCCGTGAAGGGCTTTAAATTTAAGCAGTGAGGGATCTTTATTCTGCCAATGCTTGTCGTGACACGAAACCTCGGTTTCTAAAGTCTCATCCTAAGGACCCGCAACTTGCACTCCAAAGTGCCGAGCGCATGGCAAAGGAAACGGTTTCTATCCATTTTTTATCAA